GAATCCTAGAAATCTGAAATAATTCACTAATTTTTATCGAAGTGTAATTCAACCAAAGTGACTTATGCATCGTATCAATTTTCGCAACAACAAAATTGGCCTAAAATGTGCTTTTATCAAATGTTTGTGGGTTCTACATCTCCATCGAGGACTGAAAACATACAATTCATAAATAAGAGATAGACGTAGAGATGACGATTCGATAAGCTTTTGGTAAAATTGTATTTATAACGATGAGATCGCAAACTTGTGCCTGGCAAACAAAGTTTCACTCAGACCATTTATCGTTACCTAATCGCTCTGACGAAGGGCGAACGCTCCAAACGTCAGCCTTTAAATTCTTTACAGTGGCCAATTTGCGTTGTCAACTCGTTGATAACACTAAATTACATTTATCGTTACGATACATTACGACTGAAGTTCGCGTTACCTGTCACACTTGCATACTTCTGACCTCTTGTCAACCTTGAAATTTGAAAAGTTATCGACACCGAATTGACTGCTTGTGATACTTTGTATTCAGGTGATTTTAAATTTACCTTCAATTTCTAATTGACTCTCTAAATCCGGAATTATTTCTCCATAAATGAAAGATCCTGCATTCAAAGAATTGTTTGAGTCATCGAAGTCAACCCATTGATCTTCATTGGGATGTTTTTCCTCTGGTGGTGATTCCTGAATCGTAAAAATTATCATGGCTCGTAGAACTGGGATATGTTTCCGGTGTCCTCGCCATCATCGGTTGAAATATTTTTGTTCGACGGATACAAGTTAACTCCACTCAGAGTCTGACAAGAGCGCATAGCAAACAAAACTGACTAAAGCCCAATTCTACGATTTTTAGGATATTACGAGCGGATGTTGGCGGTTTGTAAAACAATAGGTTGAAGGGTCTTTCGTCCCTCGTTGGTGAAATTGCACAGTGTACAGCTTACGAGTTCTAATCGAAATACTAACCCGGCTTATGCTCGCCGATTAGGTACATAATGCAAACGAATGGAGACTTCATATCTTTAACTAGGCCTACCGTGAGCGTTAAGCCTGTGAAGGTCAGTATTCATTGAGCGAAATCGCTGCCTTCAATACCGCCGGCGTCGCGGCTCTTCAGTTTTATAATAAACCATAATTGAGTGCATGCCCAATGTGACGCCAGTGTATTTATAGTCCGCCGGGACGAAGAAAAATAGATCTGTTTCCTTAGTATGGTTATAAAAAAAAAAAAAAAATTTCTGAGCTTAAAAAGGTTTAGTGTGGACAAGGCCTTACAATTGCAAGGCATTTCGAACAGTTAACAAGCAAGAGAAAGAATCAAGGAAGCTTTAAGTTGATTAGATTAGCACTCACGGGAAAATGTCACATTCTTAATTGATTTGAAGGTGTGAAAACCTCAGACAGAAATGTCGTTGTTTGCGACTTTCTCTTCGCCGCTCTTAATTGCGCCCTAAATTTTATTACAAGAAAGGCAATGATGAGAAGACACGAGTTCGTGATTCATGGGTCTGTCGGCTTTGAAAATAGTTGGTCTTTGAACTAACTCACATGTCATTTGCGTCCGTTAAATTCTTCATACGCCAGATGCCTCCGAAAGATAAGGGGAATGGGAGTATTGGAAGTATGGTGCATCAAAATAATACAATCAGGAGCTGCGTACCTTTACAGAACAGGAACAAGAGTTTACCTTTTCTCCAAAAATAATCGGTGCGGACTTTTTGCAAAAGTCATCACATTCCTTTGCTGGACCCTGTGGAGAATCACTTTCTGAGAGGAAACTTAAGGTATGAATAAACTGGTGCATCACTAGGGTTTATACGTGACGCGTGATGAAGGCCAAAGTTATAATGTGACGCGTGAATTTTACTGAAAGGTTAACGTTATTCGTGAATTTACGAAATTGTATGAGGCCTGAAGTATACTTGAACCTGAATTTTTTTTTTTCATAGCGTGAAAACCTCAAGATTTCCCTGAAACCATGAACATAAGAGGAGAGATTAGAAATTTTCTCTTTTATGTCCGTGAAGCGTGAACTGATTTTTTGAAAATTCGTCTTAGGCCAGCAATATCTTGCTGGTCCTCTCTCAGGACAAATTAGTTCCAACGAATTCACTGAAGGGATGCGTTTCAATTTGCTTCAGTAAACCCACGGTTATACGAAAGGTTCAGTACAGCTAAACTTCAGTAAAACATTATCTGCGCAAAAGCCAAGCTAGCCTAGTTACACCAAGACCTGTTCAAATCATAGTCAAGATAGTGTTGATGAATTCATACATCCTGTTTTGAAATGTCCATGTGATGTAACTTCACTTTCTTTTAATTTTTCAGATCCATACATACAGAAGGAGGCCTTACAAACCCCCGTAATTGTACACTGGTCTGTTTCAAGGCAAATGACACCTAGACATCTATGTGTGAGCAGTGAAAGACTAATTTTCTTGGATACTATTGGATCAACAGTACTGCATCGCCTTGAGAACAGAAGGAAGAGGAGTCAAAAATCTAAATCTTGTATCGTCAGTTGAAATGAAAATTACTGAACGGGTAACTTCGAGGAAAAACATTTATCTCATATGAATTAATGACGATAACGTCACTCAGTGTGGTAATGTAAATTCGACTTTAAGTGTCCTCATTCCAAGGTCATTTAATTTTAAATTTCTTTAAAAATGAACAGATCATCTTATTCTGCAACAGATGAGCTCTCTTTATGCCAAAACAGGATTACTTCCATCTTTTCTTTGATTAGACGAAATTTTAAAAAAATTTGAAAACAAACTTTTAAAAGAATCTTAAATGTGTTAGGAGCTCATCCTGAATGTGTACAAAAATTCAATTACACGATTTTTTTTTCTTGCAGGGAAGAGAAAATTAATTTCCTTTCAACAACTTACCTTTTGGCATTTGATTAAAAGCCTGCATGATTTATGAATAGTTCTGTTTAATAAAGTGGGTATGGGCCTCTGTTAATAGCCTTTAGTTTCCAACTGTGGAGTTATTTTCACAAGTTCATCCAATCATTCAAAAAACATCAGCATACACAGTATTGTTATTTCAACTATGATCACTGAAAAAAAGAAAAAGCATAAATAGAAAACTGATCGAAATTGTTGGTATGCGTAGGCCCTCTACAATTTGTCTTTTTTGAGAATGGAAAAGCAACGACTCAGAATTTCTGCAGCATTGACCTTGCAACACTTAAGATTTCTTTAACTCACGATGTCATTGCTTGCAGAATTTCTGCTGCTGCGAACGTCATACCGCGCAGAATTTCTGCAGCCCTGGACGTCAAGGCGTGCAGAATTCCTGCAGCACTGGCGTCAAAGCGTGCAGAAATTCTGCAGCACTGGACGTCAAACCTTGCAGAATTTCTGCATCATTGGACGCCATACCATGAAGAATTTCTGCAGCACTGGACGTCAAGGCGTGCAGAATTTCTGCAGCACTGGACGTCAAACCTTGCAGACTTTCTGCATCATTGGCCGCCATACCATGCAGAATTTCTGCAGCACTGGACGTCAAGGCGTGCAGAATTTTTGCACGCTTGGGCCGTCAAACTTTGCAGAATTTCTGCATTACAGTTCTCGATACCATGTAAAATAAAAATGAACGAAAAAACCGCTTAAACATATTAAGGGTTAAAATCAAAGACTTTATCGTTCCATTCTTAAACGTGCAGAGCATTATGTGCACTTTGACCAGATTTAACAAGCAACGCAGTAAAAAAATGAATATTTGTATGAGTAAAATGTACCTACGTTTAACTTTCCGTTGAATTATAGAAAATGTTGCTCTTTTGAAGCAACACATTTTCTTAATCCGTGAAAACTGAAGCATTTTGCTTTTATCAAATAGGAGAAATTTCCGTGTTTTTTGCCTAAATAGTGCTTCTTTGAAGCCAACATTTCACTTTGTCTGAAAAAAAGCACGATATTTTGCGGAATCGATATGAAAAATATGTCTAAAAGGTCCATTTTTCACGGAAAATGCTATTTTGGAAAACACAAAATAGTTTGGAAAGCATTAGATCTTTAATGTAAGGCGGGCTTAGATTGTGTAACGAATTACAAACAAAAAAAGCAACTTACATTCAACTGTAAATGATTCAGGAAGCCTGTGTAGATCGACGAGAGCCGGTGTGATGCTGTCAAATTTCGTTATCTGAAGAATCACCCTAGCTACGGCGTTCTGAACTTTCTGTAAACGATCGAGTTGATATTTAGGTAGACCAAAAAGAAGTGAGTTTCAATAATCAAGGCGAGAAGATACAAAAGCATGGACCCGTGTCTTTGTCGATTGCATGGAAGGGAATTTTCTTCTTTGAGTGATGCTTAAGAGTCCACGAAAGACCTCGCTGTGGATCTTACCGATGTTGACATTCATCCGCATTCGAACAGCAAACCAGGATCCAAGTTTCCGGATATTTTCTAGGGGTGCGGAGTATTTTTTTCACCGTGATCGAGGAGGAAAAGGAGTTGTTTTAGAGCTGCCTTTTCCAATACCTTGGAAATGAATGGCAGGTTGCTGAGAGAACGGAAGTTCTTATAAACCAGTTCAACATTGGCTTTTTTTGGTGCAGGGTTGATCATAACAGTTTTCCAGTTTTTAGGAACATGACCACCGAGGTGAGATAAATTGACCATCTCAATGAGGGTGCTATAGTGCCAAGGAAGGACCCAACCCTTTAACCCCTGAGAGTGACTGGCATCAAATTTCTCCCTACAATTTCACCCCTGAATCACACATTAAGGTCATGAGAATAAAGGAAATGATCCACACTGAAAGGAGCTTTTGATTTGTAAACAAATTCTCCTCGTCAGCACCTTAGGAAATGTATAAAGAGCAGTATGGAGAATATGCATACTGATTATAGGGTGTGGAAACAGGAACTAACAGACTGGAAGCACCAGACGATTTTCAGACGATTTTCAGACGATTCTCGAACATTCTTACAAACTTCTTCTACGGAAAACAGGGAAAAGCTTTTCAGGTTTGCTTTAGGGGTGACAGGATCAAGCCGAGGCTCAGGAACTTGAAACTTGTCAAGAATTTCCTCGAGAAGTTCTATTTTTTTTTAAGAGGGAAGGACCCATTGATTGACGTATTCCTTAAAATGGTGGTTTGTAAATTGAAAACTCTGTCAGATTTCACGCCTGAAAAATATATGTAACTTTGGTGGGATAAAAAAACACCAAGTGCACTTGTCTCACTGAACTGATGACAAATTTTTTTTCTCAAAATTTGCCTAGTGCGCCAGGGCCCTTAGTAAGGTAATCAAAAATCCTGCACAAAACTGTAACAAAAGTTATTTTTCAAAGATTGATTTTATCTCGTGTTCTCAACAGTTTCTTGCCAAACTCGAAAACAAAACGAATATTTAACTACTTTGAGTTCACAAATCAATTGAGAAAGTTCTTGTGCAGGGCCATCAAAATGGCGGAGAAGCTTGCAAGCCAGACTGACAGACCAGCGGCTTCAGCTCCAGAGACTCCGTTGCAATTGTCTCCCTCACAGCAATCCGTTGTACAAGAAGACATAAGCCCGGTCGTGTTGAAAATTTTGCAGACTGTAAAAAAAAAAAAGAAACAAAATATGATTTAAAATTATCGTGAAACGTCAAGGAAAAGCTTAGCGACCCTACGTAACCTTTTCACAATGTCAGAGTGACCAGTGTCTTATTTCTCCTCACGGTATGATGATTGAATCAACCATTAAGGTCATGAGAATAAAGGAAATGATCAGTACCAAATGAAATGTAGGGAGAGGAGCAGGAAGAATATGCATGCAGCGGCTAGGGTGTAAGGGTGCAAATCTGGTGGCAAGACGTAAAAAAAAAATCTACTTTGATGAGAATTTAACTACGGTTTAATGCACTTACTACGTGAATTGTCAGTAGTCGGATCTATGTGTTTACCCAAAATTTTCAAGTATTAACAAGCTGTTTCGACGTCCAAAAAAACGATTTTAGAGGAAAAGAATCGGAATCGCCGCCTTATTTTCAGAAATGGATTTAGACAATGTTGATACTATGAAAGTGTAAGATTATATTTGAATATCGATGAAATATGTACTGATAGACTTGTCCCCTCGAGTTTTGAAAATTTATCGGACGTCGAAACCATGGACTTTACGCCGTACATTTCCTTCTGGAAACTAGCTATGTTTGCCCCCCTTGCGGTCCCAGAAACCCTTGCGCATAACACAATGACCTGATTATTGGCAACTCGTTTACTGTTAACTAAAACGTTTTACTCACAGTTGGCTACGCCGTCCGGTGCACACATGAGTGCACTGTTTGAACAGTTTTTCAATGTGAATTCCACAGAACCAGCACCAGGAATCGCTATTTCACCGTTTATGGTCATACATCTATCCATACCAAAGGGACACTCCATGACATCTGGAGCAGTGCAGGGTTTTCCCGAGAGTCCCGCTTGCGCTGGTAGGTTGGTACACACGTCACATTTTAATGCTAGTGCTGTTGGATAAGGTTGAGAAGATTAGACTCTGAGAGGTCCCTTGGTTATTTTTGTATTTCTTTAATTATTTACCATCATCATTATCCAATACCATCTAACATAATGCAGTATCATCAAGTATCATCCAATATCATCCAACATCATGCTATATCATCCAACATCAAGCAGAATCATCCAACATCATGCAATCTCATCTAACATCATGCAATATTATCCAACATCATGCAATATCATTTAACATCTTGCGATATCGTCCAATATCATCCAACACGCCAACGACATCCAACATCATTCAATATCACCGAAATCATTTAAATTAACTAAATCAGTCGAAAATTCCAAAAATTCACTCGAAATGTAACGCGAAAGACATTTGGTTGCTACGATTCCTTTTGTATCTTTCAATCGAATTCGAAAATACATTTATACGCTCTCGTATTTGCCTTGAAATCATATCAAACTGCGTAAGAGTCCTGCAAACTTTGAGAAAATTTTAAAATGAAGATGTTTGACGAGTTTTTAAATCAAGAAAAGTTGTATCATACTTTCAGACATTTGTCACATTGTATATATGTACATATATATATATATATATATATATATATATATACATATATATATATACATATATATATTTTTTTAAATCAAATCTATTGTAATTATTTATAGTATTGTTCACCGAAAAATCTTTTTCGAGAATGTGTCCTTAAGTTGAACATTGACATTTGATGAAAATCTACTCCCATTTACAAACAAAAATGGCTAATAGACTCAAAATTTTGAGTCAGTACATACCCACATCCCCACAACAAAGGAGAATACGTGACTTTATCGGCCCAGATTTCATCCGCCAATCAATTCGAACGAAGCTTCAACATCCCCACCCCCCGCAACACACGGGCATATGTACTATATAGTTGACAACACGCGATAACATTCACTGACTGACACACAAACGTACGAGAAGCCGCATGACAGTGTATTGACAACACGCGATTATATTTGTTTGCAAGTCAAATGAAGACATGCGCACTTAAACATTAAGAGCCTCCTTTGTTTTCTTTAGAGGATACTTTTGATGAAAAAAATTAGAGTGGCTTCGATGTTCGCAATTCGTCACATTTCTGCCAACTTCTATCACCAAGCAATGGTACAACAAGTCAACTACAGGGTCTACCATCAATCCGGCACAAATAACATGTTTTATGAATCCTTGAGCTGACTTGAAGAAGAATTTATTTACCAAGTCATATTGTCTATAACACTAATAACTAAACTAACCCTTAGAGAGACCCACCTGATATGTTGGACAAGAATTCAAAGAGAAATCTGGCAGAATGACATTGAACGCTATTTCAAGAGCCGAATTTTTCACGATTTTACAAAGTTTTCTTAAAAGTAAAAAGGTCGACTTTAACATGTCTTTAGAGTCAGCTTAATGTAAATTTTGGTTTACAAAAGGGCTAAATTTTAGTGCATAAAAGAGGCGACCGTTGAATACGAGTCATTTTCTTGAATAAGAAGAGTAATTTATCCTCCCGTCTTTGTTTACATTTTACTTCGGTGGCATTTATTATCGAGAATTCGGTTGGAACACGCCACCGTGATGCAATTCACTACTTGGTCATTGCATATTGCGTTTGGCTCACCGTGTCGCTCAACTTGGAAAATAAATATGTGATTACATAGCGAAAATGAAAAACAAAATTAATACAGACGAAAAGCAGAAAAAATTATCTTGACGGGAACTAAGGCCCCGTTAAAACGTCACACTTCACATGAGACGAATTAAATTGAAATTTTGGTCGACCCAAACAGATTAAGTTCGACCGCTGGGTCAATCGTCGAACTTGCTGCGTCGAACAAATGATATTTTAGAGCAAAAGATCCCACAGTTGATTTTAACACGTTCTATATCTCTGTACCAGACGGACAGTGGGTGTTGGTTGGTCAAAATTCAGTTGAACGAATTTAACATGAAATTATATCGCACGGTTAAGTTCGTCTCCTGTTAAGTTCGAACTGGGCCTAAATATGTTTTTCTAAGTGCTGCGGTAAGGAGTTTTATCCTTTTGTTTTAACCTGACTGATTAGGAACTGCAAATATATTTGCTTGCGTTCACGAAAATTAGAAGAAATTCAAAACCTTCCTTCCTCTCTTCTGCGTAATATTTACTAAGAAGTCGAAACTGCGAATTTATACCTGGTTTCCCGAACCTGGTAAAGCCAGACCACCAAACCAAATAAACGTCTCCGCGTTGAAGGGACCGAAATCGTTTACATAACAAAAAATATATTTTGTTTTTGCTTTTGTTACATCTACAAAATTTTTTCTGTATCTGTCCTCTCTCAAGAATTGCAACATTTGATTTTCAAGTTTCTACGGTGACTTTGGCAGCGCTAAAGCTTTTCAATCGGGCATACAGATAAACACGTAAACCGCACATGGTGTGGAAATAAAAATAATGCTTGGGAAAATGTACTCACCAGATGGTGTGATACATAACGCGAACAGAGTAACGAAAATTGACCTGAAAAAAGTTTCCATGGTTCTTCGTTGGTTTGCTGTGAGAGTTGACAAGAGAATGATCGAAATATTACAGGGAACTAATTCCCCGTGAAATGCAAGGGCTATTGTATTTGGGTATAAATGTAAGCTGTTGGATTACCTCGGCCAATCAAATGCAAGGTAAGCAGTTGAGCTTTGTCCGATATAGTCTGGCTTCGTTTTATATTATAAGGCGCTTTTAGCTTTGAGCTTTTAGAAACTTAAATAAACGCAGGTAACACTTGCTTGCAAATGGAAAAAATAGATCTCTTTAGCTCGGTATGTCATAGATTAGTCACGTGCCCGAAATAGGCAAACAACAGTCGCGGCCATATTAAATTTACTGCAAAGCGTAACTGGCGAGACAGGTGAAATTTTATGCGTTTTTTAGGGACGAAGCGCTATCGGCTTTGGGCAAGGGGTGGAAAAGTTCCCCCCTTCCCCAGCGCGTTTCGACTCACTCTAGCCTCTGTACGGTTGACAGCAAGACATGTCTGTTCTACGAAAAGCGAAGAACGGTCCGCTATGAGAGCGTTTACAACTGCGACAATAAATCCCAAAATTCAAATTTACTTTTTTTTTTTAAATATGTCACTGTGCTCGTGCACACAGATGTATCTGATCAGGCATTCAGGGCGTCAAGCGCGTAGATTATCTGGAAAACAGGCGTTTCATTGGAAATTTGTGCTCACGCATCGCTGTAGAACGCTTGTGTCCGTTGTAGTTTCTGGCGATTTCTGCCGTTTTAAGCTTTCTTTTCCATCACTGTTATTCCTGTCAAAAGACTTCTGACAGGAATAACAATGATGGAAAAGCAAGCTTAAAACGGCAGATATCGCCAGAAACTACAACAGGCAAACAGGATGTGAGTAAATTTTTTTATAGATTTTGAGGGTAAAATGTTTATATTTCGAAATATTTAGCCTCGTAGCTTAACACCGAGTCACACAACGCGTGACGCTTTCATGAATTAGTCGTTGACTTTTTCTCGTGGCGTGAGCTTGGGCTGTCTGTGGGTACATTTACGCGTTGTTTTTTCATCAAACTCGAAAAATACCTAGGGAAAATACACATCGACACGTCTAATGAGAAGGTTACCGAGAATAAGGGCCTGTTTACATGGAGGTAGTTGAGGTAACCCGCCTTTCCATATAATCTCTAATTTTATCTTGATCACGTTTACAGATAGGTGGGGTAACCCGCCAAGGCGGGTTGCCCGGTCTGCCAGGTGGGGTAACCCCGTCAGCCGAGGTGACAAATTTGCCATGTAAACGTCTCAAGGTGGAGTAACCTGCCTAGCCCATGCTTATGGCAAAAAGCGCAGAAGCTAAACACGAATGTTTTAAAACTTTATGCATTTCCTAGCCGTCTCATGGCAGAAATCACCAGAAACCGCAACGAACACACAAGGAGTGTAAAATGTTCACATTTCGGAATATTTAGCGTTGAAAATCGACCATATTTCGTTTACCAAACAATTCCTTAAAACGCATTAAGTCTACGATTCCTCGCGTAACCTAACACCGCGTAACACAACGCGTGACGCTTTCATGAATAAATATATACATGTCCGAGAGCTAATCTTTCGTCTTTCTCGAGATGTGAGCTTGGGACGTCAGTGTTCAAACTCCCTAATTGCAAGCGCAACAACAACCTCAAGAAACCTCACCCCAGCACCCCGGGGTTGTAAGATTGCATTTAAACGCGTTTTATTTTTCGACCACGGCTAGGTGGGTTACCTCACCTACCTGGGGTTCCCACATCCATGTAAACAGGCCCTAAAGAAGACCACAAACTACGAGGAATTGTTCAGATTAGAAAAAATCTCACATTCCGCTTGGTCAACGAAGCGAAGTATTAAGTAAATCGTGATTCGTGCGATATCGGTTCTCGCGTGCGATTTAACGCGGAATTAACTCGTCAGGTAATGAATTTTCCTATAATATCATAAGGAAAGTACGGCAAAAAAAAAGAATAATTGAAATTGAGATCTCGACAGTGAAAGGTAAGGGTCAATATTCATGCAGTCATATTTGAGATTCTTTGCATATATCTTCCATCAGAATCTAACATCATGCGAGTCACTGGATTTAAAAGGGAGTAAGTTTCTAAAGAAACTGTGGTGCTGCGTTGGTGGGAGAGTATAACAGGGTAATTTAGAGCAATTTAGTATTATCAACTGAGTTGATAACGCAAATTGGCCTGAAAAATTGACTGAAAACGGCTCATGTGCGATGTAAAACGTCACAAGTTGTATCGCTAGTCAAATGGCTCCGTGGGTGTTTAGGGTGTTTAAGGCGTTTAAGTCTTTAGGTCGTAAGCCTTCGTCAGAGCGACAATATATGTCTTTATCCACAACAAGAATATTTCTCTAGTCAACGAATATGCCAACTAAGTTGTAAGTCACATATCTTAATTTTGTAGGCAGGTTTGTGTAACAAAGACTAATTAACTCAGAGTAGAATTATTAACAGTCACAATCTATCAAAAGAACCCCTGCTCGATGAACGCCTCTCTGGTGTGCACGGGCACGGTCTCAAATAATAAATCGATCGGAAGTCAGAAATATCCTAAAAGTGCCTCGTGCAAACCTGATTAGAGTGTTCAATGTTTTTTGGTCTGAATATCTGGACGATTCTTAAGATTACGGCGTCGACAACCTAGCGAGTAAGTCAACAATATGCATACGTTCGGATAGTTCGTGCACTAGATAGCAAAAGTAATTCTATTCACAAACTCTTAACCCACATATTTTTTTTGCAATACAGAGCATTTTCAGTAGGAAAATCTTATCGTTTGGGGGGAAGAATTTGTCACATGATAGTTGCATCACGAGGCGCTTGCCCTGAAGCACCCAAGAGTGAAATATTCAATACATTGCTCTTTGAAATTTTAAATTTCATTCCTTCTTATTAGAGAAGAATTTCTCGTGAGTAAAGAAGCTACAAGTTCTTTGTTTCCTTTGTATGGCTAATAGATCATGGTAGACCGTTTTATTTTCCTTAAAAAAATTAAGTGGTTTGATTCGGCAATGTTTTATAGCGTGCTCTAGTGCATGTACAGGGCGGAGAGTTTACTCATAAATGACTCGTTGGGAAGAACTCATGTTTCTGTTAGCTTTAAAAATTACAAAACAAGAAAATATCGAGGCCGTGATCAACATCTGAAGAGAGACTCACAAAATGCCAGAATTTCATTAGGCGCAAGAGAGTTCCATGCCTCAAAATTCCACCGCTATTAGTAATCAGTTGCTCACAAACAATATAGGAGCTTGCTCAAAGAGATCATCACATGTAAGAACGTTATGACGATTTACGACAGTTAAGTATGTTCTACAGTCGGTATATTTTTGTGAAAAATCCATTCGGAAAGCACTATCGAATTCCACGAAGAAGCAGTCGATTGCTCGTCAAGGAATATGTGCGTATTTTTAAAGTGAACTAAATTTTACAAAGCTCAACAAAAGGTTTCTTGAATTACTTACCACATGGCAGCAACACAACAAGCAAACAGAGCAGTAGTGAATTCATGGTTACTTTGTCAACCTCGATAGTTTGCGGAAAGATTCAGATCGGAGAATGGAGACAGCTCCCAATTTGAGGTGCGGCGAAGTCTTTCTGAGCTTACTTGCTGACTTTGATGGACATCTGTCAAAATGTCGATCATTAAATGATAAATAAAAAATAAACCAATTTTTTTTGGAAATCAATAAAGGTTCGGTAAAAAGGCTTAACTCTTTAACCTTAGTTTCGCTCACTTGACTGTAAGCAGCATGAATTAGAAAAAAAAATTTTAAACATGGTTACAAACAAGATCTGAATGCAGAAAGAAACAATGTTCGAGGTGCAATTGATGTTTTGCAGAGTGTGAGTACATTTTTACTGACCTCTAAAGACCTTTGTACCACGGCGCAATGTACTGTACTTTTTGTCACGAACATTTAAATATTCTTTTCAAAGCCGTTTTTGCGGGATTTAGAGTAACCGCGCCGCCAAGTAAAGAGTGAAATGCGAAAAGATTACACGACGTACAAGTCAAGTGTTATTATTCCACAATAACGCCATTTTATCGGATTAGGGCATCGCACCATGTGAAATATGCACAGTGTCCCATTGTAGAAGAGAGCAGAAATACCTACGGAAGGCGGAGCCACGAAAAGGCTTCACTGAACCATGACAACCTCGGTTTCACTGCATTTTTTAGGCCTGAATTTTTAAGGTAGTCCAGTGAATGTATAGGAAAATCATACGTGTGAACTGCGATTTAAGAATTGAATATAAAAGCGATCTTCGCATTACCGAACACTACTTAGCCAGTGGTAAAAATTAGGCCTGACACATAAAAATTCAGGCCTGTACGGGATTTGAACCCATTACCTCTACGACACCGGTGTAGTGCTCTACCAACTGAGCTAACAAGCCAACATTGAGATGGGCATTATGTTGGTCCTTAATTAACACGTGACGTAAAGAATCGGTGACTGTGAACATATGACAGTCATGTATGGAATTTCTTAAACCAGATCAGCGGACCGCGGAATCCAGCGTAACCTGTGAAACCATTAAGTTGTTGTAATAACAAAATAAAGAAATAAAAATAGAAACTAAAAGCCACTTTTTTTTTTAGTTAAAACCTTTTTAACCCAAAAGTTATTTTGGTAAAATTTCCGCACAGCCCCATCCTACATTATGCATTCAGTTCTTGAACAGAGGAAACAATGACAAAAACAATACATTTCCGTTGGGAAAACAGATTTGTTTTACAATAGTATGGGGCTGTGCGGAAACTTTACCTAAGTTACGATGGTTGTTCTTTTACAAGGCGTGAATCTGTTAATCACGCGTTAGACAAAAGTTGCCCAGATACTGATATTGATCCGACTTTTGTTTTCTTGTCTTAGAGAATATTTCATCAAAATTAATAATTGTGCGTCGCCTATTTGCGAGTGCGGTATTGACTCCGAATAGGTGAAACACTTTTTGAGTTACCTTTTTTTTCAGTAAATTCGTAGAAATCCTTGTATATATTCTTAAAAAATAAATCTATGTTAGCCACCTTTATCAAAAGTTTGCGAAAAACTTATTCATTGCCGAATAAGACCATATTTTGTGTTTGCTTAGGAAATATCACTGCTGATATAGGCACTTCTTAGCCTTAACTGAACAACGGAAAAAAGAAATTGATAACCACAGAACGATCGGACTGGTCTCTATGGACTTGTCGAAGGCGTTTGAAACCTTACCTCACGAACTGATTGCTTTGAGGGAATAAGGAGCTGACGAAGCAACAGCTACCCTGATGAAAGACCACTTATCAAATCGATTCCAAAGAGTGACAGTGAGGGACACACTTTCGAATCGGCATTCTATATCTAATGATGTAACACATGGATCTATCCTCGGCCCCTTATTATTCAACATCTTTATGAACGATCTTTCGTATGTTATTATAACATAGCTGGTAAATTTGTCTAATCAAATTCAATTGCGCGAGCGTGCAAATCCCTCGAGAAAAAAAAATTTTTTTCCATTGGGTTGAAAATATTATAAAACAATTTATACGGCTACGCCTCGAGCAACTCTTACGCATCTTTCGTGCTCTCCAAACTTCCCGCGTCTTCATATCTCGATGAACGTACGCTGACTTATGAACCGATTGTTAATTGAGAAGAGCACTCTGTCCTCTTACGCTGACGACACTCAGATCTTTTAAGCTGGCAATGAACGCTCTAAAGTTGAAGAAAAAATTAGCAATGATCTTATTAGTTCTGATATACGTTTTGCGCGTATAACAGGAGCTTGTGTTCAAGTGTGACGGGGGCTGTCCTGGTGTACCGGTACACGAGGGAATTCCTATTGTTTTCATAACCATACATGGAGGTATGACGCAGTTTGTTAATGTTTCCTTCTTCTGTGTACCGGTACACGAGGATACAACCAGTGTGACGAGTCACGACTTCCCGTATCCAACACAATGGAACCTCTTGGCGTAAAAAATTAATACAAATTAAATTTCGAAAGACACATCGCTAAAATATGTAGGGAAGTCAGTCAACAGATCTTTGTATTAAAAAGGATGCAGAACCTTTGCCTTTCGAGCTTAGAAGGGATTTTTATAAAAGCTTTCATTCTACCACACTTAAATTACTGTTCCGAAACGTGACACTTCTGTAGTAGGACTCAGCTGACAAGTTAAAGATGGTGATCAAACGAGCGCTCCGTTTTGTTTTCAAGGATAAGTCCTCGTCTCATGAAGAACTTTGTAGGCGTATCGGTCTCTCAAGTCTTCTTGAGCAACGATTAGCGAAAATATTGTCCATTGTTTTCAAGATATTAGCCAGCGATGCAGGACCTGAAAGTTTACGTGATCTCCTAGCATTAAGGCGCTCCACTTACAACCTCAGGGGCACCACCGACAATACTGGACCTTCCAAAGTAAAATCAACAACTTTCGGCTTAAGATCATGGAGATACGCTGCATCGAACACTATACCAGACGAGTTTCGGAAGATTCAAACATACACTGCTTTTAAAAACAACATAATAGAATCAAATCTCATGGGACTCTGAGTGCGATGTGCCGTTCTGTTCTTAATCAATTTTACCGTTTTTATAATTTTCATATTTTTATGTACTTTTAAACTTAGTTTGACAGAACATTGTTGAATTTTTATACTTTAATATCAATTAGTTTTTAATCTTAACTTATCTTAAATTATACACCTTCCAAAGGCTTGTATTTTTTTTCCGTTTTTTCTATTAATTTTTTTCGTGGCGTATTTGTGAACTAGTTCTTTAGCTGATTACCGACTACGTTAAATGCATTGATTGATTGATTGATGAATTGATTGGCGTATCGAGGTGTATCTCGCTCGCACCAATCAGATCGTTGAATTTGAATATGTATCTCGCACCATAGAAATCGGTACTGATCAGATCACATCATTAGGGTATGCTTGCATGAATCAGAGCGTCAGAGCGTCAGAGTGTCAGAGCATCGTTCTTCATGCCAATCATGTCTTAAATTAGGGTGGTGAGGTAACCTGCCTAACCGTGGTCGGAAAATAAAATGCGTTTACATGCAATCTTACAACCCCAAGGTGCTGGGGTGAGGTTTCTTCAGGTTGTTGCGCTTGCAATTAGGGGTTTGAGCGGAGGCGTCCCAAGCTCACATCTCGAATAAGACGAAAGGTTAATTCTCGGGCACATATGTATTTATTCATGAAGGTGTCACTCGTTGTGTTACGCGTTGTTTGGTTTCGCGAGGAACCGGTGACTTAATACGTTATACAGAATAGTTTGGGAAACAAAATATGGTCCATTTACAACGCTAAATGTTCCGAAATGTGAACATTTTACACTCACCTAGCTGGGGTCCCCCACCTTCATGTAAACAGGCCCTAAAACTCCGTTCCTTTCATGCACCATGATCTCTGTGATCTTGAATCACAAATCCAAATCCGAATCCTCCCAAAGGAACGCACCCTTAAAAGTTGAAAAGTGTTTTGTGTCTTGGTTCTTTACTTACAACGCACACGACGTCATTTAAAGGCCCAACACGAAATCACCACTTGAGGTTTTTTTGGAAGGGCTAGTTTTGATGACTCAGGTAAAAATTACGCAGAGCATATTCATAAAGCACATTTGATCGACCATCTTGTTTTTGCCTTAGGATTGATTCTTTGGCAAAGGTTGAAAAGATCAGCAAGTTATGTTTACTTTAGCCGTCGTTTGGTCTCGTCACGCAACGGGGGAGAGAGCGCGTTACGTGACGAGACCAAACAAGGGCCGTGAATGGGACTGCAACAAGCGCGGCGCCAATACAGTTTCGTTTTGCTAACAATTATTCAAACGCCAGAGGCAATAGACCATAAAATACATGGGTCTGATTTTATTTCAGTTAAATTAAAAGGATTTTTCTTGCTCTCCACTGAACGTTACTTTAACTGGGATCTTTTGAAAGTGAATGCTCTTTTTTTTCTTCTTCTTTGACAACAATGCAAACATTGTCGGTGTCCGGTAAGGCGAGAGTTGCCTGCAAACACACGATACTTAAAAGATTATTCCACGGGCGCGCGTTGGATATGAGATGACAGAGAGCCAACCAGGCCTGTATGGCAGAGTTGGCTATAATCATCTCTCACTAAGTGCGAGTGGAATACTGATTTTATTAATTTTGCCTCAAAATATAGATAAATGATCCCAACTTTATTTTGTAAAATTTCTCTTACACTTACCAGTTTGTAGAGCATGGTATAATGGCTCATAACCCATGATGGCTAGGCCAATGAAATCTTCTGAATTGCATTATCAAGTGATCCAGTTTATAAAATCAATCAGTATCACGGACAATGGAGAACTACGGTTTTAGGTGTTGTTGTCCACAAGCGCCACGGCTTAAGGGACAAGTAATTTTTTAACGGAAGGGGAATTAGGAACGGAAGGGGAATTAGTCATCGCTAATAGGGGAACTATGGCATGGGAAACTGACCACTCCCCCAATTAACTGTCAATAAGGGAGGAGAGGGGAATCATGGATTTATTTCAGAACCTGAGAGGAAGATTAGGTAAATTTTAACGTGACACTGCCTAACGTAATCAGCCAGGTTACAAAGCAAAATACTAGTGTCTACCGGTAATATCGAATTTTTTAGCTCGTTTGCAGAAAATTTGCGAAAGTTGAAGATTCAGTTACTCTTTGGGATCTGAAAAGCGTGTTCATTGTTATAATTTTTTATATACAGTTGTTCTGAGAAAAAGTTGTTGGAAAAAAAGTTAAAGTGCATGCGTAAACCAAACTTTAGGATTTCAGGGAAATCTGAGGAAACATCACCATAAGGACGAGGCATCGCGGAGGTTTGATGAATTTTTTTATTATTTCGTCTTCGTTTCGTACTTTCTTTATTCTTTATAATTACAATACATTGATTGCCGGATACCCATATTACCTTTCGAGATTGTCGCCTGTACTTTTGTCTTTTTTTTCCGCAAACCCTTCTCGAAACAGCTGTATACCTCATGGTTTTAGAGATCAAAAGGTACAAGAGTCCTCTAGCATACTCTTCCTTTATCAAACAGACTTAGTTGTCGGCCTACAATTTTACACTGTACCGTTTCCCCCATTCGCTAAAAGCACAACTTTGATAATAACTTCTAAAGCATTTTTGTGCGCCGTTTAAGATTGAAAACAGTTGTTGCGAAAGTTTCTATTTTTAAACATCATTTCTTTAATGAATCGTGCTTAGTCTCCTCTCTCTCTCTCTCTCTCTCTAGATCTCTCTCTCTCTCTCTCTTCCCCTCCCCCCCCCCGTATTATTTTTTCTTCTTTTTGATTCCCCGAAGATAGTTTTAAAAATGAATGGTGATCTCTCGATTTCAGACCCTTATATTAGGTTACCATAGCGACACTGCAGTCTCTGAGAGATACTCTTTATTTTGGTTTTCCGTGTCTGTTACTTGCGAACAAATCGAACGGCCCCCATTTTGAGTTTAAAAACCTGTACATTCCGCACAGAACCACCTTAATTTTTTATCATTATGGCGATCTAATCTTTATCCGTCTCGTCTGCCGAATAAAGCAAAAGTTGAACTTCAACTATGATAGGCTTGCCTATCATTTAATGTCTAAAATCTCTCGTAAATAATTCCTGGAGCCACCATTATCACTTGAGTAAGTAGCTGACTCCAAAGTCCTTTGGAATGATTGGGGACTGCTATTACTTCGTGGGACGAGTCATTGGTGGTGATGTTACTTCTAGATACGGAAACCGGGCTTCTCTGCGAGCTCCAGGGTGTAAAAGCTTTGTCATTCAAGGTGGATTGGCGCTGTGTTGACGACACAGCTGTCGCAATAGGTATCCCGGATGTTACCCTTGACGCATGCGTTGCTTTTCTTGTCATCACAGGTATGCCGGATGTAAACATTGGGGTTTGTGTTGCCTTTGTTGTTGCACCAGTATTCGTTACCTCTCGCTCAAGGTTCGTGCGTTTCGCGAAGTCTGCACTAGTGTGCGTGACCACGTGTGCTACAGAGTTAAGCGTGATCTGCACTGTTATGTTATTGCACAAATCCCCAACACAGCAATCAATGGAGCAACTGTTCACAAACCCGGATGAATTATCACACGAGGCGTTACCGTTAAACCAGCAATCTTGCCTAATGGAGCAGTTTTTGATCACCTCTACATACCTGCCAATTTCAGGGTAGTCCATAATTCTGGTGACTGTGAAGCAAGAGTCATATGCTTGCGGACATTCCACTTCAGTTGTTACGCTTTTGCATGTTGAACCGATCAGTCCTTGACAAGAAAAGCACCTGGTGGAAAGAGCTGTGTAAAGAAATGAATGAAAATCTGTACCTGTTTTCGGAACAAAACGGTTCATAAGCCATGGATTTGACTCCATGATTGCAGTCATTCACTATCAGCTGACTCGAACTCAGATAACTCAACTCCACGTCGATTCGAACTAATTTCTGAACTTTCCCCTGGCTCAAATTTACCCTGATAACTCGAACTGAGTAAAGACTTCGGTGGATCAACGTCAAAGTGTCAGAACACAGCTGATTGACGTCTCGACCCTTAATCACGATTCATACGAAGGTGATAACACAGGCAAATTTCCACCGAAATTTCAATGCGTAGATGATCTTTCTATTCAGGATCAATTTTAAGTTGCCATCTTCGACTTCTGGAATTGAGTTGTTAATGTAAAATTTTGACACTACGAACCAGCCACTATTTATTTACCCACCTGGGCCGGGCGAAGAGGCGTGTTTTGCTTTTTTTTTCGTTAAGACGTAGTGCTATGAATATTCCCCACTTATTGGCAAATAGATAAACATTGCATCAGTTCGGCAGACAAACCACCCTCCCCTCCCCCCCTTAGCTTAAGGTCTGGATCCACCATTACTATCACAGTGAGGATAGAACTAAATTAAAAAAAAAAATTCGCTGAGATTACTGTATCACTCGAAGCTCAGATCATATTTTCCTTTTTCGTGTTTACTTAGGGATCAGAAGAAGAAAGAAAATGATCTGTTGTCTTAAATGGGTTTAGAATTGGAGTTAATGAAGGTCGACTTGCGTAAAAAGATAAACAATTAATTGCTGATAAAGATTTTCTATTCGGAGGAGCTAATTGATCGACCGAGTCATAAAAGCGGATTTTTCTCAGTAATTCATGTTTAAGAGTAGATCCATGATACGCTTGAAAAGCTTAAGAGATCTTAGAAGAGAGTTTTTTATTATAGTGAACAAAAATGATAAAGGCCCTTATGTCCGTCTTTCATCAATGTCATTGCTCAATTTTATCTCGGTCTAATGTAAGGAAAACACACAAGAAATTACGCTTTTAAATACCACTTTTGAGTGGATGTGACAGTCATATACATAATAACCAATGAATCTTTATGAAATTCAAGCTGATTTGTGCATGATAAGCGAAAAGATAGAGCTCTTTGAAAAGAATAGAGCCGCTTTGATAGAGAGACCGCTAGTCAGGCATTGGCCTTTGTGTCCCGCTTATTTCCAAGCGGCTGAATTTACAGGATATTCGCAGCGGATAACAAGGACCTAGAAAAAAGAACTAATTAAAACTTAAAGAATGGAAATGATGAGATTTTAATCTGTTGATCTTCTGTGACAATGGAAATTATTGGAATGAAATAATTGGCTCCACAGAAACGTATGGCGCTTTCCCATGATCTAAACACAAAACTGATGCACAACTTTGGTCATCGATTTTAAAAGCGATCGAGGTCTTTTTTAGGGCAAGAGGCGGTTTTTTTTCTGTTAATTGGTTTACGGTGGAAACTTGACGGGTTTCTAATTATTATCGGAGAAATTGTTATTAGAGAGGTGGTTGACTTCAGAAAGAAACGAGGAGTAAAGCTTCGTTATTAAAGCAACAAAAGACATTCTAAAACGAGTTCATGCAGTCAAAAATGAAGGAAAAGCCAAAAGCAAACCCGTTCGCCCGCTTTGAAATTCAGTGAGAAACTTAGACCTCTCCAAGTGAAAGCATCCTAAATATTAACGAAAGGACACTTCACAACGTTGGTTTTGATTAAAACAATGTTCACTTGAAAAATTGAGGAAGATCAGTTGATTTTGCGCTTGAATAAAAATTGCCCTTACCTGGTCTTGAAATCCATAAACAGAACACCAAAACTGCAAATGACCAAATTCGCGTCATCTTGTGCAGATCCCGTCCTTTAGCGAAGTTGTTTTACAGTGATCCAGCGCTTTCCATCTGTTTTATCCAAAAAAACCGCCCATCTGTCAAAGTGGACCTTTTGACGTAAAAAACTTGATTCTTCAATAAATATCTCTCTAAATTAAAGTCGACATCGGCGTAATGACTTTATAAATGTAATCCCTTTGGCGACAGCGGTTTAGATCACGCACTTCCGGAAAGAGGAGATTAAAGCTTACTTTTGACGTCAGCAAAGACTAAAAAGGATATTCTGAAAGATTCGAGATTGGTTTTCGTCTTGCATCTCATTGGTTGAGAGATTGGCGCGAGTTTTACAGGCCAATTATAGACAGAAGTGAAACAAAACCAACGCAATCCCAGATTATTTTAGACGCTCAACTGAAAATTTCTTCAGAGACATAGATCCGCAAGAAATAGGCTTTTATTAAAACGGAAGTCCTTTCTCATTGCAATCTGGCGTTTTCAGTAAAGAGGAAAAAATAAAAACCTGCCAAAATTCCTGAGTACCTCTGAACTGAATCTTTGCGCTCGTGTAAAAATTTTTCAGTTGTTACTAATGAAGATGTTGAGCAACTGTTTTTTGGTTTTTCTTCAAACAGATAAGCCTGCCAGAAAAAGAAGAGAAGGTAAGCGAAAAGAGAATTGACCGTGATGTACAAACACTTAGAGCGAGGTATGCGGAAAGGACAGACAGAAGTCTAATTCAGGAAGTTTGAATCTGTGTTTATGCTTTGAAAGCAAACAAATGAATGGCTTACACTTCTACACGCACTTCGGTTTCAATTGCAACACTCATTGACTTATTTTTCATTCTTCCTTTCCTTGTTTCTTTTCTGATTTGGAGCTCAGACATAAAAGAGGAAAAGGTCTCGTTCAAATAGTGTACCGATGTCACGGATTGAATAAAAAAAAGAATTTGGTATGTATATGATACCGTGTTTTCTGAAAACTCCGAGGGGATTCTGTCTAATTTTTTAGCATTGAAAAATTTCTCAGTGTGCGTTTACAGTCTTTCAGGAGACGTTATTCTATCCTATGACTATTAAAAAAGGTCACATACGTATCCACCGGGTCATATGAAAGGAAGAGGTAGAGGAAATAGATCTTGAATTGCGAAATTCTCTCTCCTTTACCTGTCGGCGTAATTTTTACAGCGACTGAGCAGCGACTGGTAATGAGAGAAAACCTCCGCTGTATAACCTTGAGCCCACGAATCCTTCCCATCGTGCTTTGTTCTGCCACGTCTCCATTTTGAAGATCACCGAGTTGTCGAGATTTGGTCGAATTTTTGGGTAAAATGCAGTACTTGCGGCGAGATAAGAAGGACGAAGAAGATGGTAAAGGATTTTTGTAAAGGATTTCTGTGCTATTAGTTTTTCATCAATTTTGTAGCAAATCAGAGTTTCATGCTTTGTCCTCGCCCGTTACAGGTTCGCAGTCGAACCCGTTTCAGAATCTTGACAAGAGTGCCGTGCTCCAAGAGGTTAGCCTGAAATATCTAGTTTTTCCTTATATCTCAGTTAGATCTCAGTCTTTTTTAATGAAAAATTACACTATAAAATACTTGTGTCTCCCCAGGCTCGCACATTTAACGAAACTCCGATAAATCCGCGGAAATGTATTCACATTCTGACGAAGATTCTGTACGTACTGAACCAGGTATGCGAGCTTTTAACTGGAAGAATATTGAATTTCTCCCCGTAAAACATTCACTCCCACGAATGACCTTAAAGTTGTTTCTCATTGTAATATCAGTGCATTGTCAACTAGAAAGATAATGAGAATCGATCCATTTAACACCGAATTCACAGAGCTTAAATTCCGGGAAAGTTATAGACATTGAGGAGAATTGATGTCGAGAACTAGGGACTATGAGGGTTGATCCTTTCTTCCTAACATAGATATGTAGATTCTCAATACTGTTCTTTATATATTTCCTGTGGTACAAACAGATTATTTTGTTTAATGATCAAGAGCTTCCATAGTTGATGATCATTTCTTGTATTCTCATGGTGTTAAGGAGTGATTCAGGGGTGATATTGTGAGGAGAAGTTAGATGCTTATCACTTATAGGGATGAAAGGGTTAAGGGATTACATTCAGATTGTTTGAAGTCATTTTAAAATTGCAGTATACTTTATATAATCAGCAGTAAATTACTCTCCTTAATTTAAAAACTGAGGATTGATTTGGTATGACCCATGATTGTGAACCTACAGTACTGCTCGCGATACGTTAACCAAAAAATGTGAATAAGATGTGCCATAAATCGCATGCAATTGCAAATAAAAAAAATCGTGTATGTCAAAAAATCACACATGTGCACATAAGCTTGAGACATCTGCCTTGTTAGGTATGAAGAGTTTGTCTTTTTGTTTTCTGTTGTTGGCAATAGGCTACAATGCAATAGACCTAGAACGCTACACGGCTACCAACGATTAGCAAACTAGTTTGTTTCAATCACTGTTCAAACTGACCTTCCCAATATGCTGTTACTGATGGGACTTCATAATTGGAATATATAAATGATTTATCACTTTCCAATGGAATTCTTTCATCAAAATAGCTTTGTATGAAAAAGACATCCATTGCAATGGGTTGGGAATTTGTTCAAAATAAATTTATTCTTAGTGTGTCATAATTTGGTAGAATCAGCAAAGGCGCCTGTTATTAAGCAGTTGTTACATTGTGAATGGAAACCTATGTGCAAATACTTATTTCATAGCTTTTGCCATTGGTGAACATGGTGTTCTTGAAAACTGGTCCATTCATCTCACCATTTAAACAGAGACTAATAAGTTGTACTCACTTATTTTAATGGTGTTGTGTTACATTGTGGTTAACTGTCACAACTATATCTTGTTCTGACTCTGCTTCGGAGTCTGTTTTGAAAGATCTTGACATTATTAACAGACGTTTGCACAGTATTCTGATGAATGGTTGTCTGTAGAAGCATTTTTGGTTTTTCGGATGTTTTTTCATCTTTGACATTGTAATTTACTGTAACTTGACCTTTCATTATTGTATTATGATGCGTGCCGTGATCAAACAAATCATCACATGCAATGCAAAATTAAACTGTTTACATTCTAGGGAGTAAATAGTGAAGCGAGTGCTGATTGCAATGAGTAGAATAAAACATCATTCACAATCTTTAATGGTATATTTTTTGAAGGTGATTAAGGTAAGTTCGAAATTTCAAAGAAATCATCAGCTACAATGCAAACATCAACTTGTTTACATTTCGCTGCAAAAAAATCCAAGGGAGCACTGATAGCAATGAATGAATTGGAAAAATAGGAAATTTTCCGTTGTTGACTTGCTGCTTTTTCAAACCTAAAATTTCTTTGTTTTACACAACAATGTAATACAAATGAAACTTATAGCACTGAATAACAAAGGCATTTGAGTCGCGCATTTTTTTCGACCATGTGCACAAAAGAATCGTATGTACGTGTCAGACTATTCTGTGTCTGAGCGTATGAAATTTGTCTGCGCAGTTAACATTTACGTGAGCGGTACTGTAATAAATAAAACATTTGGACCATCCTTTCTCGGGGGATCCCAAATCAGTGACATATTCTGCTACTTGCATGCCTTCATGATTGTCTTTCTTGTAGAAATATAGGTGACCAGAGAGAAGGGAAGAGGCAATATTCATTATGCTATGTTATGTGAATTTGAAAGACAATAGAGAATTCATCTTTATGCAAGCATGTATGTGTGGTTTTTTTCAGGGGCAACATCTTGGTACAACAGAAGCTACAGAGGCATTCTTTGCAATGACAAAGCTGTTTCAGTCAAAAGATGTGAGTTGGAGTAGATGTTTTAGATTTGTTAGTCTCAGAATATAAGATCAAGGTCTAATTTTTAGTTCAGGCATTATATCAGACATCAAAACTCTGTTTAAACATTTTTTTTCTATAGGTAATGCTTCGCAGAATGGTGTACCTGGCTATAAAAGAATTAGCAAATATAGCTGAGGATGTGATCATTGTAACGAGCAGGTTAGTAATAAGAAGATATTTGCAGTTTATGTACAGGAAAGCAACTGTCATTCAGCTCAACCCTTTAACTCCCATGAGTGACCAGGACAGAATTTCTCCTTACAATATCAATACAACATCAAGTAGACAAGTGATGAGTATACCGAAAAATCTTAATTTGGGGATAATTAGTTGATCCAATGCTAAATGCTGAACTAACATTATGAGAATTGTATAATTGACAGTAAGGAGAATTACAAATTTGACCTAGGAGTTAAAGGGTTGATTAGTTGAAGTGACTTGTGAAGAAACTGGACAGATTTCTTTGTCATATTTTGTGAGCAGTTTTTTTGACTTGATTTTCTTGTTAAATTGTCTGATCAACGGAAACTTTCTGTAATTTATTCAGTGACTTGCAGAAAGGAATATTCTGAAAAATAAATAAACTTTTAGGGAGCACTATTGTTTTCATTGTTAACTTTTCCTTTTTTTCTCCTCTACTCTGTATGTGGCCTTCCCTAAAAACCTCTTTTCATAAATGACATTATTCTCCAAGCAAACATACATTCACCTAAACATGGTGACAAAAATTTAACTTGTGATTAAAATGGCTGTAATTTGGACCTCTGGTTGGCAACTTCAAGGGGATCTTACATTTCAAGTTGTAACTGATGAGGGTTTTAGCATCAGAATATTTCTTTAACCTTTAGTTCTCACTATATCACAATATCAATACAATACCTGAAAGAAAATTGACAGGAATAGAGAAAATATCAATTATGGAATTGCTTGGTGATCCAATATGAAATTCTCTGAATTGACATTGTGCGAATGGTAAAGCAGATGGTGGGGAGAATTAGTAACAAGATATTGGGTGTGACAGGGTTTAATGTTTCTTTTCCAAGAAAAGCCCTTAGCTATCCTCTTAAGAGTTGTTTCATTCCTTTGGTTAATAAAAATTTTTTACTTTCTCAGTCTGACGAAGGACATGACAGGAAAGGTAATAACTTTGTTCTCAGAGTGCTTTAGACATTTTGATCATGAACTTTAGAGTGATTTAGTAATGTAATTTTTCTCTTATTTTTTGTAGGAAGATATGTATCGTGCCAGCGCTATCAGAGCCCTTTGTAAAATCACAGATGTAAGTACACACATCCTTGTTATTAATGATTTTCAGTGGTGGTAAAGGTGTTCTCTTTATTTTTATTAACCCTGTAACTCCCATGATTGACCATGACAGAATTTCTTTTTACAATATTAGTACAATTTATAATAAAGTTCGGATATAATGCACACTGTCATTGGTTGAAAGAGCGTGCTCTATCAGATTACAAAGCATAGAGCTGAGCCAATGTTGTCAGGCCATCTGCCAAATTGTACAGTGTGCGCCCTTTCCTGAACTTTTCTCCAGCTCTTTTTCATTCATCGGTAGTGAAATTTTGGAACAAGTGGGCCAGCAAAAAAAAAAAACAATAGAAGAACCAAACTAAGGCTTGTAAACATGCCAAGTGCTGTAATTTATGTTGTTACAATGTGAGCAGATACAACAATCCTCAAAGAGAAAACAAAATTGGCAGTCTGAGTTTTGAAGGTTTTCATGCCAAGTTAGAGTGCAAGCTTACATGTATGGATGGTAATGAAAATCAAACAGCTAACACTCATATTGTATTTATAGTTTCGTTTTCCAAAAAAAAGAAAAAAAAAAACATTAATGATGAGAAATATAGCCAAACTTGCAGAACTGTTAGAATTCCTACTAATCATGACAGTGTTGGAAAGACTACAATCATGCTGAGGCTCACTGCAAGGCATGAAATTGTGCCTAATACAGGCACCATTGTGACTACATTTTTCACTTTGGTGACCAAATCCTGAAAATTAGATGCCAGATTGGCTACTAGAATGTTTCATCATAACCTTACCAAGAGATGTAGTGAATTAAAAAGATTTGCAAAGATACCATAATTTCCGGCTGTTTACCCACAGGGAAACTTTTGATTTTGCATTAAACGTGCATCATTGCGGATAATAGGGAGGTGCCGGTTATGTTTCGAAAGTTAGATTAGACAACTTTTAAAAGACTGAAATGTATCACCTTAGTGTCACGTTTTTGCCACCAAAAAGTTCAATAACATAACGTGTGGTTTATCCACCAGTGCGGGTAATCTGTTGACTTTTTTTTCACTGTATGCAATAATCGGTCGGTGCGGGTAATCAGCCATGCGGGTAATTGGCCGGAAATTACGGTAAATCTGCAGCAAACTTCCTTGTTAAACTTGTTTCCAAAACGCAGCACATGCATCTTGATCGATAACTAGATGCCTTCTTGGATTTAAGTGAGCTTGAACGTTGTATATCATCCATCCTAGTGTCCACTTTGTAGCATGTTAAAGATCTTTTCCCTAGCTTAATTTTGGAGGGTCTATGTAGAACGTTGACAGTGTTAAAAAAAAGGTGTTGTTTGTCTTTGAAAATGGCAACCAATTTTTTTTTAATTGGCTACCACTTTGAAGGATTTAGGAACCAAGTGGGTATCAGAAAAAAAAATTAATTTCACACCCTGCACTGTGGCCAGCTCATCATTGTGATCTCCAGTCATTGCAGTGATGAAAGCCTCAGAAATTACATAGATCACCCTTCAAGTGAACAACTAAGAGCTTGCTCTGATATCCTTTCCAATGCATTGAATGTAAAGCCACATCTGTCACAGCAGGAGAGTTTTATGGGGCTGTCATCCCAAGCAATCTTGACATTCCTGTGAATTCCATTGTTGTTCTTTCATAAAACCCACGCCTTGAGCAGTTTGTTTTCTAATTGTCAAGTGAAGAAACTTATGTTTTTTTATCAGCCACAATTTGGCCAGATTTCACTGAATTTTTCACTTCACATTCTGTTTTAGAGACTAAAAAACTTCAGGTAACTGTGTTAAATTCAACCTGCTGAACTATTTCAGTTTGTAAACTATTGCAGATTGTGAACTTTGATGGTGTGACATTTTTGACAGCTTTATTCTTCATTCTCATTACTTGTGTCCTTGATTTAACAAATAGAGGAGCCATGACTGTGCTCTGTCATGTTGTAAAGCATGCAGGAAGCAACTAGAACACTTAACAAGTGGGAAGAAACACTTGACTACATCTTGTGTTTCTCCTTACATTTCTTTCATGCTCAAGCTGCTTCCTGCATGCTTTACAACAAAACAGAGCCCAGTCATGGCTCCTCTATTTGTTAAATCAAGTAGACAAGTGATGAGAATGAAGGAAAATATCAGTTAAGGGGTTACTAGTTGATCCAATACCAAATTCTCCAGATTAAGATTGTGAGAATTGTACAGCAGACAGTAAAGAGAATTACTAATGAGATATTGGAAGTGGAAGGGGTTCATGCCTATGTCCAGATCGTCATATTGTGGACAATCAGTGTCAAAATTAGTTGACATGTTATGTTTGAAGAGTTTTATTTATGTGAAGAACAACACTCTTGTTTCTACCACACTCTACAAGTAAATCATTTACAGACCCTCTACCCCATTCAGTGTTGGCTAAAAGTTCATGGAATCACATTACAACATTGTTTTGGAGAAGAGGGCTAAAAGGTGATCCTAACGAGGGAAAAAGAGATAAAGTTGAAGTAATATGGGTTTAAAAGATCAATGTGACGGCAATTTTGTTGCTGATCATTGGAAGAATTCATGCTGATGTTACCATACCTTCGGTTATTGATATTGCCATTCAGCTGCTCTCTATTAGTATTTTCTGTCTTTCTAAATCACACATATGTTTTTTTGTTATTCCTCAGAGCACCATGCTTCAGGGAATTGAACGATATCTGAAGCAAGCAATTGTTGATAAAAATGCCAGTGTGTCAAGTGCATCCTTGGTTTCTGCTTTGGTGAGTTGATTCATGGTACTCTGTGTGTCCCCTTGAAACTTGTGAGGTAAAGTTTTTACAAAACATATTTTTAGGAATTTAGTATCAATATTTTAGCTTAGTAACTCACAATATGAAGCCTCTTGTGAAGCTGCACAAAATTTTGTCTGTTGATGGGTTTGCTGTCTGAATTTACTGGATGAGAAGCAAATCTGGTAAAATAAAATAGAATTAAAAAAAAAACTATTAGAGGACATCACATAACTGTTCAACTCTACCCAGTATATTTCATGTTCCATATTTTGGATACACTGAAGTTTTAATGAAAGCCAGTTACCAGTGATCTACCATTCGTAAAAAGACATGTTACTGCCATGTTTGGGTTTTTCTTACGGTCCCTCTCCTGGGCACAGCTTGCTATTATTGAAAGCAGCTGCTTATGGAATAAGTTAGGAAAATCCCTGGATACAAACACCAAGTTAAAGATTTTCCCTCATTGTATAAGACATCCATGATCAGAGTGTCCATCTCCTTTCACCTCTGGGCATTTAATGAACACTTTGTTGATTTGTTTGTTTGTTTGTTTTTTCTCATAACAGCACCTTATGAAGCCAAACTATGATGTGGTGAAGCGTTGGGTGAATGAGGCCCAAGAGGCTGTTTCAAGTGACAATACCATGGTCCAGGTAAATAGCATATGTACAGATGTACACTCTTTTTCTGTTTGTAAACATTAATAGGGTACATGTGTTTGTTTCATTAACCCTTAAACTCCCAGGTCAAATTTGTTATTCTCCTCACTGTCAACCATTCAATTCTTATAACGTTAGTTCCTAGAATTTAGTATTGGATCAACCAATCATCCTAAATTGATGTTTTTCTTTATTCTCATCACTTGTCTGGTTGATATTGTATTGATATTGTTAGGAGAAATTATGTCTTAGTCACTCATGGGAGTTAAAGGGTTAAGAGTCCTGTCACTCAATCAAAGGTGGGCCTTAATTGGAGGCGGGTGCTTATTAAATATTTACCTGGTGGGTTCTTAGTCGAATAAATACAGTGTTTTTCTAGTTTGCCTAGGTAACCTTACATGTCACATTCTTTTGTTAGTACCATGCCTTGGGTCTTTTGTACCATGTGAAAAAGACTGATCGACTGGCTGTGTCTAAACTTATCTTCAAGTACATCAAACAGTCATTGAGATCTCCTTATGCAGTCTGCATGCTGGTAAGTTCATGATGCCACCATGATTTTTATTGTCCTTATTAAATAATAGTTTTATGCAATGGATTTATGTCTGGTGTGTTTACATCAGGCTGGTCACTTGTCTTTTCTCAGAATGCATATGAGCCCTTTAGGCACAAATAAGATTGCAGCACAGGAGGGGAAAGGTTGGGAGGTATTCTTTTTATTTTACACAGGGTTTCCTGCATTCTGTTTGATTATTTTTTCCATGGCATGATATAAAAAGGGATTTATCAGTCTTTTGTGTTAGCCCTATGTGCGGCACGATGTCATATAATTATTATTTTCCTAAATATGATCTCATATTTCACTCATTAATTCAATGTTTGCCCCAAAATTTTATTTTATATACAGTTAAATGCAATTTAACAGAGTTAAAAACAAAGAGCATCAGCATTCTCTAGTAGTCAGCGGTTTTTGCATATGCGCATGGGTCACAATTCTATGTGCTCTTTGTTTGGGGCATTCTTGTGTGTGCTTTAAGCATGAACTTGCAGCTTTGTGAGGAGGTCCAGCTCATTGTCCAGGCAGTTTTCCCCACCCCTTCCCTCCCTCTTTCCACTGTACAGTGTGATGGGTGCCTATTTTTCTTTCCTTTGTGGGGGCTCATGGCTGGGTTGCCTGGATTTGCCAGCCATGGGAGAAGTCTCCATCTAGGAGCTGGCTGCCAATAGTGGAAGGTCCTGGATGTTTCAAGGCACCCAACCTCCACTTAGCAATGCAGTTGTTAATGTTTGTTATCAATGAATTACATTTGAAGTTGATGAATTTACAGACTGTTATTCATCTACTCCCTATTTAGATACGTATTGCTTCCAAGTATCTTGATGAAGAACCAGAAGTGTGAGTATATTTTTTAAATTTGTGGCTTATGTACCAAGTTAAAACTCCTTTCTGTACTAATAAGCATTATTTTTTTATCTCAGTGCTGATACACCTGTGTATGATTTTCTTGAGAGTTGCTTGAGACACAAAAGTGAGGTAAAGGTCATTCTTGTTGTGTATGGTAAAAAACAATCCTATTTTTCTTTTCTTTTAAATTATCATGACCTTATATTCCTTGAAATTATTCACATGCAGGTCTTATATTATACTTCCAGTAGTTTTCCTGCAAGATAGTTATGAGAACAGACAGACTTATAAGCCAGATAGTGTTATCCTGATGTGACACCAAATTCTCCTATTGAGTTAATGCAGAAATGTATGGCTGTCAGAGGGGATAATTACTAACTGAATCTTGGTTTGGGCTGAGAATGCTCACCTCCTTGTGGCCCAGGTTTAATCCCCAGATTCTTTTCTTGGTCACCATCCTTACCCTAGGGGAGGAGGGGGGAGGTTATTTCACTGGATTCTCCAGTTTACCTTCCCACAATCACAAAAGCAAAACTTTAAATTCTAATTTGGAGTATTTCTGTTTCTTCTCCTTCCCCCCCCCTTCTATCTAGTAGTCCTCCATCCCCCATTGCCTCCTTTACATCATGTTGTGTGTACATTTTCTTCATTCAGCCCCTCTATCTTCTCTCCAGATGGTGATCTATGAAGCTGCTCGTGCTCTAGTAAACCTGAAGAATCTGAAATCCAGAGATCTGTGTCCAGCAATTTCAGGTGAGTGTGGTGAAGAGCTTTGAAGTCAACTGCTCTTCAAAATTTATCCACTTACTCACCTTTCTTTGTTACTTTGGAGAGAGCAGTCAGAATTTAATCTCTCCAAGGGTTCATATTAACACTGTATATATTTTTTCAGTTCTACAACTGTTCCTGAGCTCACCACGCCCAACCCTTAGGTTTGCTGCAGTGCGCACTCTGAATAAGGTGGCTATGACCCAACCCATGTCTGTCACAACTTGCAACTTGGATCTTGAAAACTTGATCACTGATGTCAATCGCAGCATTGCCACACTGGCTATCACCACCCTTCTTAAGGTGAGTAAAATTGCTTGGAGAAATTTCTTTCTTGTTTTCATTCAAGATTTGCATGTCGTTGTATATGAAAGTCACAGCTTTTTGATACTGGTTGTTACTGATATGTTTTTAGACTGGAAATGAAGGAAGCGTTGATCGTTTAATGAAGCAGATCTCTTCCTTTATGTCGGAGATCTCAGACGAATTCAAGATTGTTGTTGTTGATGCTATCAGGTTGGTAGTGGCTTAAAGCAAAATGTGTATCGGGTGATGTTTATGGATCATGTAAAATTTGTTTGTGGAATGATATCCTCAACTTCAAGTTGCTGTGAGATCTTAAGAATCTTTCATGTGGTGCAGGTTGAGGTTGTGTGTGTGTCCATGTGTTGTTGTTGCTGATGTTAATTTTGTTGTTGTTTTTTTAAATTAATCTGGTGGATAACGCGGTAGGTTTTGCCAACACTTTTTCGCTGGATAGCAATTTCTCCGTCGGATAGCGCTATCAGCTCTTTGAGCAACTGGGCCTAGAGATGTGTAATCCAGTAAGTTTTGATGCATTAAGGTGTTTTTGGTCATCAAATTCAGGTCCCTGTGCCTCAAGTTCCCCAGAAAGCATCACGTAATGATGAACTTCTTGTCATCCATGCTGAGAGACGAGGTTTGTTTGAAAATTCACCGACTTAGGATGATATGTGACCTCTTTGTGACCAAGGAGGTCTAAGGTCTGACAAAGGATGGTCGTGTTAGTGTAGTACACTAGGACCATACAACTGATTTGTTTATGGAGCATTTTCCTGCTTGTTGGAAAGAAACTTAAAAAGTCTGTAGAGTAGAAGTAGAAATCTGATGTGAGTAAATAAGCTACTAATAATTATTATTAATATTAATAATAATATAATTAATTAATTAATTAATATTATATAATATTAATATTAATATTAAGCATTGGAAATCTTGGTTAAATTCTGAGAATGCTTGAAATATGCCCAACCGAACTCGTTTTTTTGGTAGAGAAGGTGCTCTGCTGACTGGTGTAAAGCCGGTAAATAAGCAGAGGGGATTCTCGAATTTACCTTGTTAACGCAGTTTGTCTCTGAAAGAAGGTAGACCAGAATCTCTTGTACATGCAAGTGGATCCATTTGTCCGTATGTCTTTCCAGTGACCATCATTTCACTTTATGGTTGATTATTTCAGGGAGGGTTTGACTACAAGAAAGCCATTGTGGACACAATCATCACTATCATTGAAGAGAATTCTGAAGCTAAAGAAGCTGGTAAGTTTTGTTTGTCTCAACTAGCTGCCTTAATATGATTTCTGTATACTTTGCAAGCCCCAAGCACAACTCTTTTCGAAGAGATGAAATGAGGAAGACGTCGCCAGAACTAAAATTTTAGTCGACAGGAGAAAACGCGAAGCAAATTGCCGCGAAAGATTTCTTCAAACTCGTAGTAAAATGGCGCCTATCAATGACCCTGTCAACGCGGCTTTTGGATTTCGCCAAAATTTGTTACTAATCGTCTTGGCGATTAGAAAGGTCGTAGCTTGAAGCGCTGACTTTTCCAAGTATGATCTTTCCTTCAATATGTCAGCAGCTGTATGTTTTCTCTATTAAATAACATAATTACTCGAAAAGCTCTCTTGGTAGAACGTGGAGAAATTTCATATTGCTGCCAGAGTGTGGAAATTTCACTTTTTTTTAATCTATGTTTTTTTCTACAGGACTTGGCCATCTGTGTGAATTTATTGAAGACTGTGAACATACAGTTCTTGCCACAAGAATCCTGCATCTCTTGGGACGTGAAGGACCGCGCAGCCAGAATCCCTCAAAATACATTCGCTTCATTTATAACAGAGTCATCTTGGAGAACGCAGCCGTGAGAGCTGGTAAGATCATTGTCCTTTGAAACAGTTTTCTTTCCCACAACACATATCATAACTCACTCTTTTAAACAGTTATATTTGGTCAATACAATCGCTTTTCACCCGGGCTCGAAAAGCTATCTGTGACCGTCCAGGTTGCGTTTATGACCCTGTTAGGCAAGTGACTCTTTTCAGTCACTCACTCATCTAAACGAACCACATTTCAATCGGGTTATGGAGGGTTCGCTTCAATGCAAGTTCGCCCCTGCCACCTAAATAATTTTGCCCCCACCTTTACCAGATTTGGGGGGTAAACTCGCAAAGGTGGTAGGAGGCGAACTTGCAATGAGGCGAAACCTCCAGTAATCTTTCAATTCCGTTACCGTTCACTTTCTTTACATCTCAACTCGCCAACACTATTGGTCAATTCACTGACGCGCCCCGTCAATTCGGTTCCCTTGGTGTCCTTTAATTTTTCCGTGAATTGACCTTTCCCACCAATTATTATTGCTTGATTTGTTGCCCTTGTTGCAAAATTAAAAGCTTTCCATTTGAAACGAGTGCGAAAGTTGGAATGAAGAAAAATATATTTGTTCAATATATGCTTTATGGGCAAGATTAGCAGCTTATCACAGTTAGCAGCTCGTGAAGTAGCTAATTGTGACGTTGGATAACCGTTAGCTTTGTTTGTGGTGTTATGTGGGTTGTCATTATTTTACTCTAGGGTTTAACATTATCCTTTGAAGTATAATGTTACGACTTGTTGGGTAACTTTTTTTCTGTTACTTTACAGCGGCTGTGACATCCCTTGCCAAATTTGGAGCTCATTGCGACAGCTTGTGTTCAAGCATTTTGGTTCTTCTGTCAAGGTCAGTAATTTATGATCCCATCAGATGGTACTATTTAGTAAAAGTTTACCTTCTGCCGTGTCTATTGCTTGTTTGCAAGTAAGGCAAAGTCGAACCCTAGCTCCTCGGACTTCGTGTTCTGTTGTTCCAATGACGCCTTCTCAACGGATCAGGTTTTACTTGTACAAAGCGCTGAGGATGCCATTCAGCGGATAAATCACTACCCACCAAATAAGTTGTAACAAAACGCACTGCACTATCCATCGAATAGAGATTTATCCAGTGGATGGCGTTATCCATTATTAGAGCAACTCGGATGGAATGATGTGAGCATGCGCCGACCGAAGCGCGAAATCCGAAGTTGTGGGGTTCCATTCTTCATGGGGACTCCGATATTTGCTTTGCGCCACTCTGGTGACAAAACGAATATTAGCTTTATTTATTCGACGAATTAGCTCAAAATTTACCTTTTTCCCTATCCTAACTTTTTCAGGTGTCTTTTGGATACCGACGATGAAGTGAGAGACAGAGCAACATTTTATGTGAATGTTTTGAAGGAGAAAGAGAAAGCCTTGTCATCAGGATACATCTTGAACGGTGAGCTACCAAACATAAACTGAAGAACTGCCACTTGACGCATTTCGATCGAAGGTCATGAAATCCAAACCAAAGCATTCGCGACGGCTAATCAGAACGAAGGAGATTATTATAAGAAACCAATCAGAACTTGGAAAGATACATGTAAACGTTTTTAGCGCGGGAAAACGCTTAATTCGTTGCAGTTTTGTTTCTGATTGGGTAAGAGAGTGGCGCGCGTTTTCTAGAAGGCAGTGAGCAAGACCTCGTCATTGGCGCTACAGAACGCGCGATTCTCCGACGAGTCGCGAAGAGATTTGCTGAAGGTCTGGCACTAATATTGAATAGTGCCAGACCCCTTACAGACCTGTCGCTGGCTCGTGTTGCTCAAGCGCCTCATACTTCCCGCAAGCAAAGAGACGCTAGTGCCAAAGCACTTATAACGAGGAAATGCTCGCCGGCTAGTTCTCCAGATCAATCTCAGCGCAGAGTAGAACAACACAAATTGTTGTGACAAACAGACAAATAAGTAATTTCTGTTCCTTCCACAGGTCTTCAAGTGTCCATTGTTGGACTGGAGAGAGCTCTACATGCCTATGTCAAAGACTCGTCGCACACTGCGCCATTTGATCTGAAGACTGTTCCCTTGGCAACCACGCCCATGCAAGACCAAGTTGTTAAACCTGGAAAAGCTGGTACGTCTATTTCCTGCACGTTCTCTATCATTTAGGTTTTTCCAGTTTGTTGTAACCTAGTCGGTGTTTTGCTGTCTTTGCGAACCTAAGGCGTTTATACAGAGAAGGTATATTTTGTGCTTCATAAACAAATCACTGTAGGTTGTGAACTGTTTTTGTTTGAAATGGTTTTTGCAAAAGTGTTTTTCTTCTGTGCGAGGAGAAAAGAACGACTGTACTACAGGTGTTTCAATATTTTTTCCCGTAAGCGGCTGCCTGTGGTGTGACAGGAAAAGGGGCCGTAAGGCGAAATCCGAAAACACGAAAGAGGTCTTGTAAGCGGCGGTAGACCGCTGGTAACCGCTTTTCACTGAAACTGTAGTTGTACTTTAATGACATTCTTTATATTGGGCTTTCATTTATGAAGGTATAAGCCCGAAAAAGAAGAACGCGTTATAAATCGAAGTCTTTTTTGTTGAGATACACTGAGCACTTTTTTGTTTACTTGTCTTCTGGTTTTTTCTTCCTTTACACTTATTAAGTCTTTTTCTTTGGTTGTCTTTTTTTTCTTCTTTAAAGCAATCGAGACACCATCTGCTCCAACCAAAGCTGCTGCACCTGTGGCAGCCACAAGACAGGACGTTTATGCTGGTAAGGAAAAATAACTTGCCCGAGGTAGAATTACATTGTTTTAGAGCCATAGTTACCGAGGCTTTTCAAAGATTCCCGAGCAAGGGAAAATTCTCCAGCCCGGCCACGGAGATATTGGTTTTTGCGCCCGCAATCTCTCTAACCGGGATGGGAATCTTCGCATTAGAGCACTCCAGCCCTTGAAAAGCCTCGTTCATCTAATTGAGCAAGGTCAAATTTCTTATTGAACCGAAGGAAGAATTCGTCTAGAGCTCCGACGAACTGGCCATTATTTTTTTTACGGATGTTTCTATTCAGTAGATTATCGCGTCCCTATTCAAAAAAAAGTGGTCCAAAAAATAAATATAAAATTAAAGTGTTGAATGTTTTTTGTCTTTACTTTTCTTCTTTTATTTTCTCGCTAGAACAACTGGCAGCCATCCCACAGTTTTCCCGGCTTGGTCCGCTTTTCAGGTCCTCACCGAAACCAGTAGAACTGACTGAATCTGAGACAGAATATGTTGTTAATTGTGTCAAGCATATCTTTAAGGATCACGTCGTCTTTCAGGTAACTTAGGAAGGAAATAAATAATTTGTTAAGGCAATTTTCAATTGTGTCGAAAGTAATCTTGAATATTATAGGTTTTGCTTGTCTTCACTTTGAGATGGTCCAGAAAACTGTCGCCATCCTCTCGACCAATCTGATGCAAAACTAAAAACCCATCAGGACTTGGTCATCCATGTTTCTTGCGCTTGAAGCAGTTTGTTTTTTTTAACCTCGATTTCTCATTGGTTGGTTTCATATGATATTTTCCTTTCGCTTTGATTGGCCGTTGTGATTATTGATGCTAACTGGAGAGTGCTCCAACTTACTTTCCACTCTCGGGCGAGAAAGCTTTCTTCCAATTAAATTATCATAATTTGTCTCCTTTTTGAACTTCACGTAGATCCGATCAACCTGTTGAGGAATGCCTGTTTAGATCTTTAGATGAAGGCAATTTTCATTTGATTATCAGCCGTAGTTTTAAATTGCGTAGGTTTTCTCAATCACACTCTTTGATTGGTCTAAAAATCTGTCACCGCCCTTCAATCAATCAGATATAAAACTAAAGCCAGGCGTGACTTGGTCTTTGGCGTTTTCCCACGCTAGAGGCCGGTCACGCAACTGTACTCTCAACTCTCATTGGCTCCTCCTAATATATAATCATCGCTCTGATTCGCCGTTGTGATTAGTTTGGTTTTGACCAATAACACTCAATTGAAATGTTTCTTTCGATAGTGCTTCCTGTTGTTTCATATTGTTTCATATTGTTTCAGTTTGACTGCACAAACACACTGAATGACCAGATCCTAGAGAATGTCAAGGTAGAAATGGAGCCGTCGGATGGAGAGTTTGAGGTGGTGACCTACGTCCCACGCTCTTCGCTTCCTTACAACACACCTGGCACTACCTACACACTGGTAAAACTCCCAGAAGACGCTTCATCAGGTTTGTAAACTTTGCTATTGCATTTCATCTGTAAGGACGGCAACGCCAAGAAACACATTGGTTAGAAAATGAGTGTATAATGTTAGCTAGAATTTTTGGACAGGCTCAGGGCCGTAGGCAGACTTCAAAACAAGACGAGGCAAGTTTCGAGCGCTGAAGGCGCGGGCCGCAAGGGGGATCTGGGGGCAGCCCCCGAAAATTTTGAAATCTAGAGGCACAGAAATGCTCTTTAAAGCATTCCCCGGAGCATTTTTCTTCAGAAAAGTCAACCTCGGGCCAAAATCTGCTTCATGCTAGCTACGGCCCTGAGGCTGGATGTGTTTACCGTCTCTTACGGCGCCTCACTTTAACTTCAGCATAACTTATGCGAGCAATGCAAATTTTGGTGATTCACGTTGTTGTTTTGCAGAGAATGGCTAAGAAATGAACAGAATTTTAAAGCGCACGTGCAGAGCTATTCACCTGCTGATAAGATCTTTTTTGTTTTTCTTACCCCTTCGTTGCCATCTCCGTTGGGGTCTTTTTAAGGTCTCTGCTTTCTGAATTCTCCCAACATAAAGGCCTCTTATTCCTTGTTCTTAGTTACATGCACTTTCACGAACACACTGAAGTTTGTGGTTAAAGACTGCGATCCAAGCACAGGTGAACCGGATGAAGAAGGATACGAGGACGAATATGTGGTATGTGTTGGACTGAAATTTTTCCCTTTTTTCACTCTTTTCTTTTTTTGATGCATGAAAGTTTTCTTAGTACGAAATCGGGGAACCTCATCGGCTGCGAAGATTGCTACTTTGGTGCGTCAATGGCACAGGCTCCAGGCGCTATTTTCCAACCCTCAATCAGTTTTTTCTTCATTTATTTGCCCAGTTTTGATTCACATGCCATACTGGAGTTAAGTGCAGTTGCTGGCTACCAAGTTCCAACACGGCCACCGTAAAGTCTATTTGTTTTCAAATTGCCCTTTTTTTCTCTACATCTTGTACATAACAGAGAAGACACTTGCAGAAATAACCTTTCTATTTCCAGGCAAAATTTATGCTTTTTGGGAAATAGTAAGTTTTTCCCTTATAGTTACTATAATCATTCGTCTGTCTTAAATGACGCGGGTCCATTGTCAACTTAAAATGTTGTTGTAACAATGTTTACCTTACCCCTCCCCCCAGCTTGAAGACATAGATGTGCTCGTGGCAGATCACGTGCAGCGCGTGCACAAGACAAACTTCTTGGCCTCATGGGATGAGATTGGTGACGAGTGTGAGATGCAGGACACTTATGCTTTGACTCAGATGGCCAGTTTGGAAGGTAGAGTTCTCAATCCTTCTGTTTCCCTCTGTGTGCTTAAAGTAGTGTTTGAAAACCTGACTTAAAAAAGCAAAATTGATCAACCGTTTTCGATCGTCTCGCGGTGTTATTCCAGAGATCGCTTCGTTGATAAAATCGATTAAAAGAAGAAATGATGTGATGTAATTCAACCTTCTCTGATGCCCGCACCCCCCTTGATTCGAAAGACGCTTGTCCAATTTACAGCTTCAACATACCCCCGCCCGAGTAACCCATGGGTATTTGACTGTCCTCCCAAGAGAGACAGAGCCAGGTGGAAAAAAAAGGAAAGGTTCTGCCTTCAGATAACAACAGCCCAAACAGGACTGACTACCCAAGAGAGACAGAACCGGGTGAAAAAAAGGGAAAGGTTCTGCCTTCAGATAACAACAGCCCAAATAGGACTGACTACCCAAGAGAGACAGAACCGGGTGAAAAAAAGGGAAAGGTTCTGCCTTCAGATAACAACAGCCCAAACAGGACTGACTACCCAAGAGAGACAGAACCGGGTGAAAAAAAGGGAAAGGTTCTGCCTTCAGATAAGAACAGCTCACATACGAATGACAAAACCGGGAAAAAAATTCAAAAATGAAGGTTCTTCCCTCACGGAGATAAGTCTGATTACACGAGAGAGTGGGTAAGAAATAACAAAAGAACGAGAGTATCTTCAGGATTCTGCTTTCGAAACTGCGAAATAGTACAGTACGATTAGTAAGAAAACACACTAACCTGCCAAGAGCGCGTCATCTTATAGGGAAGGAATATTTGAGCTGTGATGTCAGGGTTCATTCCATAATTAGGTTTCAACAGTTGGATAATACACCATGTGATTTTAAGCATCTGTCACCTAACTATCACAGAAATAATTCCTTCTCTTGCTTCGAAAGCACAGAAGTAAAGGTAAACCTTGCTTTGCTGATTAAATGGTTTGGGCATCATCATTTTCCGCTCAAAGGTTATTAAGCAGCGAGATTTATCGCGCGTCATCATATAGCACTAGACAGAAATTATCAGGCATACAACCTTGTCTAAAAGCCAAATTGGACAGGCCAGCGAGTAGAATTTCTTCCTCGCGAAGTTTTACACAGTTAAGACCTTACCTTAAGGAAAGAACGATGGCCCCTTTTCGCAGATACCGCCGAATATACTCGTACCTTCGCACAGAATTTTCGCGGGATAAGTTCCCGCGCTTACCTGATGATTGGGACTTACTAAAATGATATTTTATACTGAAAGAGCTCCTCAGTATGGACGCCAGAAAAGTATTATCAAAATATCTACTCAATCGTTTCAAGTGTTAAATGATACTCTTGTATCTCCAGAACATACTGCAGTCGAAATCTCTCTTGAAAACAAGGTCCTTACCGAGCGGCTCACCGGCTTCCATGTTGACTTAGGGTCAAAGGTCTGATCAGAGTGAAATATAAGTTGGCTAACACAATTTAATTTTGGTATTGTCGTGACAGAACAGATAATCGCTCTTTGCGTCACAAACCAATAAATCTGTAGATCACGAACAAAACATGCTGGGTACAATAACTGTTACTTGATAGTCATGTCACGCGCTACAACCAGGCTATCTTCAAATGCCATGACACACTACGGCTTAGCTAAGCCGTTCTTGTCGCTGAATCATTCTACAATTATGAAAATTGCCATTCACGCCATGAATGCGTAGTTATCTCCAAAGAGAAAATTGTGCAAAAGAGTCCTAAATTTACGTAGCACTCCTAACGCGCAAGCCGCGCGGATCCTCGCGCCTGTTTACATTTTAATTGTTAACTTCAATTAATTTCACGCTCGAAGCCAAACACCTCGCTTTCACTTGCTAATTGAGCCCTCTCGCTTTATTTTGACAAGCCTATGGATCATTTTACGCATCCCTGGTGAGAACTCTTTTCTTGAGCAAAGCTCGTCATGTCTGTTCTAAGCTGTTTTTCTTTGGACTCCTGTTGGTCTTTTAACCATCTCTCACTAATGGTTTCCTGGCCAGGTGACTCTACCCTGAAAAATAAAAGTAGGAATTTTCACAAATTACTCTCTGCACCCTCTCCACCCTCCCTACCCTGGCAGTTTGCGAGGATATTCTAGTCACAGCCTCAATTGCGAGAACCTGATTTCAAACCCTCGAGTAATTGCCCCACAAGTCCTGTGCTGTTATCCCTTTTATACACATTAGAGGGGCAAATCCACCCACTTGAATCCCAACAAATGACAAGAGATCGTGGAATTTCGTTAATTTGCATATGGCGATTACTCCTGGCAAGATCAAAGTTGTTCAGCCGAAAATGTACGTTGTATCACGGCTTTATCAAGTTATAAGTAATAAAATTGCTTCCAAATCAGACACTGGATCGGCTAAAGGGAACTGAGTACAGATTCGATATACAGAGTGTATTTGTTCTACTGTTTACCTGGACCGCATCGCTTGGGCTTCCTTCTTCAGTCTCTCGTTCTCGCTTCGGAGTCGAATGAGCTCCTCAGGAAGCTTTCTCAAATTCTTAATGAATTCTTGGTTGGTAGTGAGTGATTCCACTTCATTCGTGAACTCTAGTGATTCTTTCCGAGTTCTACGCCATGCGTTTTTCGGTCCTCTGCTCGGTCCGTCCATATTATCATTCCACGGGTACAAACTTAACGAGATATTCCTAGAAAAAAATCGCTTCCGCTCTTTCTCTTTCTCTTTCGCGGAAAACCGGAAGTTGTCACGCTTATAAATTTGGTCGCACTTTATTCTCACAATCGCAAGATGACGTAATCTCTAAGTTTTCATTCAAATTTGCTTTGCAGAAAAGTCGGGCTCAGTGAGTATGAAAATGGACTTTGCAAATAAAAGCTATTGAGAGAGAAAAAACTGGCAAATGTAAACAATCAAACTACGTTCACGAACATCTAAATTTGGTAACCCCCCTGTTGTTTCGGAAGACACGATTCATCTCTTGACCCTCTATTGGTTGGTTTGATTTCCGGGAAATTTCCCCTCGCAAAATTGATCAACCGTTTTCGATCGTCTCGCGGTGTTATTCCAGAGATCGCTTCGTTGATAAAATCGATTAAAAGAAGAAATGATGTGATGTAATTCAACCTTCTCTGATGCCCGCACCCCCCTTGATTCGAAAGACGCTTGTCCAATTTACAGCTTCAACATACCCCCGCCCGAGTAACCCATGGGCATTTGACTGTCCTCCGTGCTGCCCGGGGGGTGGGGAATTTGAACCTTGCTTATGTGGGATGGGGGATTTCCTCCGGAACTGTCCAAGTCTTTCCAGGGAAATACAAGTGTTTCAACGTTTGCTGTGGAAGTGTTAAAAGTTAATAAGTCCACTTTCGCAAGCAGATGGCTCAGAGGAAAAGGTCTTTAAAAAAGTCACGGTCGCTGAACTTGCCGGTTAGTTCCTTTCCCCCTATAGCCTTTAATTATTTATGTCAACAAGACTCAATATCTTTTGCCGTTCATTTTATCAACAGAGGCTGTCAAACAGATTATCGACTACCTCGGCATGCAGCCGTGTGAACGCTCCGACAAGGTTAACACTGAGAAGAATTCACACGCCTTGTTATTAGCGGGAGTGTTCCGGGGAGGCCACGACGTCTTAGTGCGAGCCCGTCTGGCGTTCGACCAGGGTGTGACTATGAACATAACTGTTCGTAGTGACGATCCTGTAGTTAGCGAGGTGGTGTTATCTGCCGTGGGATAATTTTTTTCTGTGCGTTTGGACCTGGCTAATACAACAGTAATGTTTACTTCAAGCTTTGTAATTAAGTCTTGAAAACCAGCTTAAGGTTTTCGAAGCGAGAAGTCACGGCGATTTCTAAAGATTTCTGAAAAATTAATGTCAAGTTTAGATTGTTGTCTTATCTGATGCGTGCAGAGATATTGGGTGTCGAGGATCTTTTTTTCCAGCTTTTAATATACTTGTTTGTAATTCTATAAATTGCAGTAGGGGATGGACTGAAAGCTCTGAACACTTTAGTTATCCTTTTAACACGCACGAGTGACGAAGACAGAATTTCTCTTTACAGTGTCAAAACAATATCAAGCAGACAAGGTAATGATAAAAAAATAAATCAGGACTCAGTAGTTGATCCAATAACAAATTCTCCAAACTATCATCGTAAGAATTGTATGACAGACAGTAAGGAGAATAACTAATACGATCGTGAGAGTGAACGTGTGATGGGAGAATGAAATGGTGACAAAATATGAAGGCTGGAAATGGTTACAATTAAAAAAGGAAGAAAAAAAAAAGAAAGTTGGAAGACTCAAAACTTTTTCGGAAATCTTTGTGTCAAGTATCAAGTTATTATTAGTATACTGTCAGTTTAGATTTTGCCCCCTTTAACTTGTGTCCAAAGCAAAAGGAAAGAAATTTAATTGATTAAGACTTACATTAAATCTGTCATAGTTCTGCATGAAATAAATATTAACAAGTTTAAATGAATGGCATGATCCGATGTTCTTGCTTGATGTTTTGTAACCCCCCCTCCCCCTCTCAGCCTGTTCAGCCAAGTATCCCCCAGACCCCTTGCAACTCATTTGGAAAGTTTTCTTCCCCTTGGTATTTGAGTGGATTTTCATTCACTTGTTTTACTCTACTGCAGCTGAGTCCAACGGTCCATTTATTTATATTCGGTGCTGTTAGTGTTCTCATTTCTCGCCTCGGTTTTACGAAGATTTTGATATTCTTTGTCTTTGCGGGTGGAATTACTTTACCCCCAAGAGTGATTCATAAATGACGTCGCCCCACAGTATCAACACTTTGATAACCAGTGGGAAGAAAGAAAATTATCAATCAGAAAACATTTTGTAGTTTAGAGCTAAATTCTCTCAACTAATAAATGTGCGGAAGACAAAGAACCTGCAATGAACAAAAGTATGAAAATCACACCGATCTCTGAACATCTCAGGTGTAGGGTCGGATAAATTATGCTAGCATCAATTGAGTACAATGCTATAGTCGGAGCATCGAACACGATGTCGGCGTCGTGGCTAAACGTCTTAAACATATATCGATGATGCAGTTTATTAAGGGATATATTTTAGAGCCTAAGTATTGTCACAAGTGAGTCTCCATTCCTTTTTTCCACGTTAGGAATCTGATCCATACAAATGATTTTTAGGACCTCGGTGAGCATTTTATTCCAAGCAAATTTTACCCGCTGGTGGTCCGAATAGGGAGGGGGGGAGGGGGAAGGGATGGGAGGGAAGGAGTTTTAGGGCTATCATTTTCAATTATCATGTTAAGTATAATGAAAATTTCGTTCCATAATTTTCAGCATTGTGTCACCTCTGAACGTTTCGCTGGATCGAATTTTTAATGTACTTCCGTTGCTGGGAATGACTAGTAAAGTTTGCTAACTTGTTCGGTTCTTGAGAGAAATGTGCACGAAGGTTCATTCAGTCATTCCCTTCCCCCCTTTTTCACCAGAATTATCTTTGTATCAATGAGCTATGCAAGGGAGAGGCGGTTTATGATTTCTGCCAACAAGAAAGTTACTTCTTGCTGAGGAACAACTGAAACAGACGAAGAGCAGCGGAAAATTCAGTTTTCGGCGAAGCGGAAAGGCGTTTACTTCGCAATGATCAAGATCAACGACAATTAATAGTAATAAAAAAATGTCCCACGATAAAGAAGAAAATAGTGAAACAATAAAAAGGAAAGAAAGAAAGGAAGAAAGAACAGGACGACGAGTTGGCGACGAGATATGTCACCGTTACCTGGCAACATCCCGCTGTAACTGCAGGCTCGGTAAACACGTCTGCCGCGAAAGATTAATATATCTGAACGAGCAGCGAACCAGGAAATAGCACAGTCTAGTCCATTAAAAAAAAAAACAAGATGTTTTGACGCCGTATTTCCTGGGATTGTGAAATTAAGAGATTTGTTCCTTCCGTTTGTAATTTCGATCGCCGACGTTGGTTTCGCTAAGAAAAAAGACGCTATTTTATTTAATTGGCTTTGGGGGAATCCCCTCCACAGGCGCGTATCTTTGCTCGGACGCCTTCTTGTTCAACAGATTCCCAAGTACGCGTGACTGAACCCGCGAAACAAATTTTTAATTTTTGGTTTGTGTCATTAGTTACATTGGGAAAGCTAAATCTGAACTTTATAACGGCCTCACTGATCCAAGTGAAAACTTTTTTTCAACCACTTGTGTTGTAAATAAATGAATGTCAATAAAACACAAGACGGTACAAAGTTGCGTTTTCTATGCATTGAGACCCGCGGGATCGCACTAAAAAAAACTGCAAATTGGTGCCAGTTTGTCTCAAGCTGGACTGTGAAAATAACAAATCTTGGCAAGCTAGTTCTCGAGTCAAAATGCCGCCAGAATAAGAGATAATTTCCATTGATAAACGCATTATAAACTTTTTCACAATTATCTCATCCGGTTTGGTCTGCAACTACTGTCCAGCGACGCGAGCGTTTTTATTTATTTATTTATTATTATCAGCATTTCTCCTTGTAATTTATCTATTTTCATCGATGTACTCCTACATTTATAACTTTTATGTAAATCTATCATTTGACCATGAACTGGAAAATGAACTTGAAAACTGAATTCTGTGTTCTTCTTCCTGTAGCCATGAAATTCAGTGCATCAGGACATTTTCCTCCCAAGAAAATTTTCAGACACGTTTATTTCGGTAGCTCTGCTCTTTCATGGAACCACCGATGCTTGTAAAAGTTATTAAATGCTGCTCGGAAAAACTGTTCTCGAGAAAAAAGGTACCTTTCGACCATAATTCCAAATTGAATATCAGCTTAAGATATTCTTCAATCCAATGTCTAATAGCAGATAGGACTTCTCACAAGGTTTGTAACTTTTCTATTGTTTTCGTCGATGGTTGGGTTGATAATCTAAACGAACATAGACTTTCTCTCAGGAAGGCAAGACGATTTGGAGGAATTTTTATGAGTTAATCAAAACTATCTTTGTAAAAAAATCCTCTCTATACGTTTAAAATACTTCAGTTTAAGAAGATAAATGGATTAGGTGTTTTCGATCGCATCAACTGAAATGAAAAGACCAATGATATATGATCAAAACCATGCTAATTTTAAGTGTTCGTGTGCTGGAATCATATCCGATTGAAAACAAAATGTTCTTATCATATTTTGCCGAGCTAAGTGTCCTTTAGGCGGTAATTAATCGGTATTTTTCCAAGATCGGATAAGACAGGTCGCATGTTTTGCCAAAATTAAAAGTTACATAATCTGCGGGGGCGTCCCTGCGTGGCGGGAAAATATCAGGGGCGAATCTATCCACGAGAGTAACTGGCGCCATCTTCTTCGTTTCGAATTTAACTTTCTGAAAGTTGGTTCTCATTTACGGCTTCGTTTTTTGTTTCTAGGGATCTTAGAAAATCAGAAGTTTAAGGAGGAGACCTCATCTAGCCACTTGGTTGAGCTTTCGCCAATAACCAACGTGGAACACAGAGATTTTTTCTTCTGAATGCCTTCCTTTGTCTTCGTACTGCCGGTGGAGTAGTGAAAGCGTTTATTACGAAGGCGGGTTCATTTAACAGACGAGAAACGGCTTAGCTTTGGATACAGAAGGTCTGCTTTCCACGAAATATTTAGAACGATACCAAGCGCTTCTGTTTACGTTTCGAAAGTAGGCGTACAGAGTGGTTTTAAGTGGTTTTACGTCGGATGAACTTTGAGAAATTCAACAACTCCAGTTATCTAGTACGCCATCATCGCTTGGCTATTGTTCACGAAGCCGGATTTAGTTCATACCGTTGCCGTGTTGGTATGAAAACAATTGCATTTGGATCGAAAGAAGATCTACCATCTCAGTGGATGATTTTTACTAGAAAACATCGGCAAGAAAATTTTCCTCGCCAGTGTTGATTCCATTTTGGGTTTCACTGTTTTAACGGCAAAGCGAATTCACCCAACGCTGTCGTGTTCGGTGTCGCCATTTTAACGAACGGGCTTGGTGTGGTCAGATTGCTTCGTAGTTCACTGCATTTCGAAATCGCTGCCTTTTCTGTGTGGTTGAGAAGACGTCTTTTATACGGGAGGAAAAATACACATTTCACAAGACCAGAGGTTTAAATCGTGCGACGAAATTGGAGGACTTCACTTTTGAAAACTTGGCATTTGAATGTTAGCGTGCGGGCCTTCTTTACGAACAAGAAATACCGCTGTAAGCGTCTTTTGTGAAAGAATAGTTAATATACCTCAAGACTTCTCCGTAACGTTTTCGTCTCGGCGAATTATGTTTTGATATAACGGACGAACCATGGTAAACGTGAGAGAACTTATCGACAACCTTCGGGCGACTAAACCGCCGTACGAATGTCCTCTTTGCCAGAAGATTTACAAGAGTTATAGTGGAATAGAATATCATTTACGTGTTTTTAAACACGATGGCACTGATGTTGTAGGAACTACGCCGACTACTTCGAAAAAGGGAAAAGGTCGAGGTAGAAAAAGTGTTAAAAACAAGAAACCGCCGCCATCGCCACCGACGCTAAGTGTTCCGAGAGAGACGCTAACTTACGCTCAAGCGCAGAAAATTGTTGAGGTGGAAATCGAAGGTTTTCCTCATAGAATCCACATAAATGATCAATTGGATGTTGTGGATAGTGAGGAAATTTCTCAACCGGAGCCAGAAAAACCAGAGGATGCTTTTGAAACAATGCTGATCAAGCCGCTTACCAGTTCAAAATCGAAGAATGAACAGTCAAACGAGAACAATAACAGAATAAGCTTGCCGAGTGCGGAGTACAGTGAGAAAATGGAATCGGGATTCAGGCAACCCGATGCACCTACGAGACCTACCGCTTACTTCCGATTTATTGAGCAGACCACTGAAGAACTAGACGAAATGGTTGAATATGATATGGATGAAGAAGACTATGTTTGGTTAGATACAATTAACGACAAGCGAAAAGCTGAAGGAATCGCGCCGGTCTCTCAAGAAATATTTGAAACTCTTATGGACAGGTTGGAAAAAGAGTCTTACTTCGAAAGTCAAACTAACTGTGATCCAAACCAGTACATCGATGAAGATGCTGTGTGTTGTATTTGTAACGATGGAGAGTGTCAAAACAGTAACGCAATCCTGTTTTGTGACATGTGTAACTTAGCCGTCCATCAAGAATGTTATGGTGTGCCTTACATTCCCGAGGGACAGTGGCTGTGTCGTCGATGTCTGCAGTCACCATCTAGAGCTGTGGACTGTGTTCTGTGCCCAAACAAGACTGGTGCTTTTAAACAGACAGACACTGGAAAATGGGGGCATGTTGTATGTGCATTGTGGATACCAGAGGTTTGTTTTGCAAACACAGTTTTCTTGGAACCTATAGACTCCATTGAAAATATTCCTCAAGCTCGATGGAAGCTCACTTGTTACATTTGCAAGCGTAGACATGGTGCATGCATCCAGTGTTTCAAAACAAACTGCTATACAGCATTTCATGTTACATGTGCACAACAAGCAGGCTTGTACATGAAAATTGAACCTGTAAAAGGTGAGAATGGTCAAGTGACAGTCCGAAAGACAGCTTTTTGTGATGTTCACACACCAACAAACTCTGAAGCAGGAAGAGAGGAGGAGAACAGTGAAGATGAAATTAAAGAAAAAACAAACATTTCTAAGAGCAAGACCCCAAGCAAGACTCCTGCAAAAATAACCAGCAAGTCTGCAAAATCAGCAAAGTCCAAACGCAGCATCAAAAAGTTTAGGAAACTTTTGGCAGAGAAGAAAACCACTGCAGTTCCGATTGTTAATATTCCTTTTATACCAGCTCACAGGTAAGTTTCCTATGTAATGTTCTGACACCTAATAGATGTGTGAAAATGTAATCACAGAAATCTGAAATTTTCTTTTGAAAGTTGTAATTCAACACAGCTGTTGCATAGCAACTATCGATGATCTACTACTGCCATAGTTTTTTATTTATTTTTATTTTTTATTTTCATGTTGAATGAGAATCATTCTTTGAATTACTGCAGTAAAAGACCAGGTTTTTTTTCAAGCTGCTTAGAAAAATATACGTATAGATTTTGGCTTTGTCTTGCATGTGCGTGGAAAAGCTTTGGGAACATGACTGTTTATTTTACCTTTTCTTCTGTCTGTGGTGATGACCATGTTGAATAAGGAAAAAGTCACCCACACTAGGCATTAAGCTCTATATTCGATCAGATTGGACACCTGTATTGATAAGAATTTTTGTTTAATTTGACTTAATTTACTTTAGCTTTCATTTTCTGTACCTTGTTTTGGCAACACAAAAGTAGGAATATGTTAAAGCAAATGGCTTTGGAGTGTATCACCAGTTTATAATCAACTGTAATGAAGAACACAACCAATGATCATACTGCATGAGTATTTCGCATACTGGTTATTTAGTTTTCATTTAGACTGTTCAGATTTATATTTGCCCCATATGATTTATATACACATGTATGCATATATAAATTTTTTTTATTGTGAATATAAAGTTTTGCACACTTCATTAAATGGGGCTTCCAACTGATAATAGTTAATAATTCATTCAAATCTCAGCTTACAAGGCATAATGATTCTTACTGAATAGGTCTTCATGAATTTTTTAACTATTGCACCAGCAATTTGTCTGAAGGTTGTCATTTTTGAGTGGGAATTTTGTCAGAGGAGCAGGTTGCCTTTAAAACAACATATCAAGTACAGCTGTCTTGCAGTCATTAACAATATGTGCACCACTTTTGTTATTTGTTATGGAAATTTTTCAGTCCAAAACAACAATTATGCATCTAATATTAGCCCCCTAGTGTGGAACGTAGACTGATAATGAATATTTTACTCTGGATCTATTTGATCTAAAGTATTTCTTTCTTATTTAAGTCACGATTAAAAACTTTTTTAGTGAAAATTTGTGCAGTCACTATCCACAGTAGGTAACAAATTTACTGTTTTTGACTTTCCTTAAATGAAAGTTTTCAACAGTGAATAGTTTCTATCAATTAATGGTAATATTGTACTACTATTTTACACTAGATAATTATTATTGAAAAGTTTGAAATTTTTTAAGTTCTTTTCAGTTAGTATTTGTGTTAGGGATTTTAATGACATTCTTAACCCTTTAACCTCAAAGAGTGACTCGTATCCAATTTCTCCTCGCAATATCACCCCTGAATCACACATTAATGTCATGGGAATAAGGATATGATCACTAACTTAAGAAACCCTTGATTGTGAACCCTCTAACTCCCATTAGTGACCAAGACAGAATTTCTCCTTACAATATTAATACAATATCAGGCAGAAAAGTGATGAGAATAAAGAAAAATGTTAATTAGGAGATTATTAGTTGATCCAATACCAAATTCTCCAAGCTAACTTGGCAAAAACTATATGGCAGACAGTAAGGAGAATTACTGATGAGATCTTGGGAGTTAAAGGGTCAAGCAAATGCTCCACATCAGCATCAAAGGAAATTTCTAGAGAACAGCAAGGAGAATGTGCATACCACTGTTAGGGTGTGAGGGGTTAATACTAATGGTTCTTGGTTTTTTTTTTTTTTTGTTTTTGTTTTTTTTTTTTGCATTACCTTCAGACTCAGTAAGATTGTGGGACGAGTTGCCATGGCACGAAAGGCTCAGTTTATTCAGAGTCTTCAAAGCTATTGGATGTTGAAACGACAGTCCAGGAATGGAGTTCCACTGTTGAGAAGACTTCAGGCCAGCCATCAAAGTCAGAAAGCTGGTGCTGATGAAGTATGTAGTTCTAATTAGTATTTCTGATACAGATTTTTTATTCTGATTTGGGAGAATTTAACTATCTTCAGTGCTAAATGCTTTGAATTTTCTCCCCAGTCAAGCGAAAGGTCACTGAGGATCAAAGCTATGAAAGAGCAGCTACACTTCTGGCAACGACTGCGGCATGACTTGGAGAGAGCACGTTTGTTGGTGGAGTTGATCAGAAAGAGAGAGAAGCTTAAACGGGAACAAGTAAGTTTCTCCAGGGTTTCATACCAGTTCTGCATGAAAAGCCATAATCCCTCTTACGGAAATCATTGCCAGAAGTACATGTATTTGGTCTTAGAAGTCAGGGTGTCCAGACATTTTTAAACTGTTAGGTTCCCTGTGGCTTGTAGGTTCTTTTATATACTTCAGCCTTGTTTTCTCAATCTCTGGATCAAAATTAGTTATTCCAGTAATCTTCTATGTTGCCAATATTTGGTCTTGGGAAAAGGGTTCAGAAAACTCTTGCCAGGTTTTACTCATAATGCTTAGTCCTGAAAAAAGGTTTTTAATATTAGAAATTTCTTAAATTTGTATACAGCAATCCATTTGATTTCTGATGTACAACCCTTTAACTCCCATAAGTGACCAAGACAGAACTTCTCCTTACAATATTAATACAATATCATGCAGACAAGGGATGAGAATAAAGAAAAATCTTGATTAGGGGATGATTAGTTGATCCATTAACAAATTCTTCAAACTAACATCACAAGAACTGTATGGCAGACAGTAAGGAGAATTACTAATGAGATCTTGGGAGTCAAAGGGTTAAGGAACTTACAAACAAAGAAAAAGGGCTCCTATTTCATTTTTTGTTTTAATGAAGCCATTAAAAAAATGTTGATTGCTTTGGATAATTTTTTTTTTCAAACCTGTTGGTTGCCAATTGGCAACTTTTCTCCAGAGTTAAGTCACCAAATATATTTTTCACTCACTGGGGAAGCCAAAGTGGAGCTCTGAGAAATGCAGAAATACATGAGCAGTTGGAATAATCATAAAATCACCTTGCAAAAAGGTCTACATGTAGACCCATACAGGAGTAAGCTCAGCAGTTTTGATAATCAACATGACAAGCAGACCCTTACAAACCATAAAATAACATTTTATTTTAAATATTTCTATCTCCTGACTGATCAGGTGAAAGTCAAACAGCACGTGGTGGACCTGCAGTTGCAGCCACTGAACATTGTTCTCAGGAAAACCTTGGAGCTCTTGCAGACGAAAGATCCTGGAGAAATCTTTGCTGAGCCTGTTGATACTGATGAGGTATGGACACAGAATCAGAAAACAAATAAATGAAATGCTTCACTTCACAGTATTTTCTTGTATACCCAGTTTGACTCCCTGTTGTGCAAATTTCCCCACCCAGCATTCAATAGGAGCTAGTAGCCAGTCAAGATCGCTGGCTAGTCTGCCATCTTCAGCAAGCTTTTCTCACCTTATTTTGATTTAATTGCTGATAAAAATTGTGCAATAATTGAAATTCCTTCAATAAATTCTGTATAGTAGCCATTCTCAAGGCTCCATCCCTGTTCCTGTTTTGATACTATGCCCATTTTCTCAACCCTTTCACTCCTAAGATCTCATTAAATTTGTTTTGAGAATTTGGTATTTGATCAACTTATTATCCCTTAACCCTTTAACTCTCAGATCAAATGTTTCATTCTGCTTACTGTCAAACATACAATTCTTATAATGCTAGTTCAGAGAATTAAGTATTGGATCAAGTTATTATCCCAAATTGATATTTTTTTTATTCTCATCACTTAACTGGTTGTTATTGTATTGATATTGTGAGGAGAAATTCTGTCTTGGTCACTCATAGGAGTTAAAGGGTTGATAGGTATTTTTCTTTATTCTCATCACTTGCTTGCATGATTTTGTATAGATATTGTAAAGAGAAATTCTGTCTTAGTCAATAGTGGTAGTTAAAGGGTTAACTGATTTCACAAGGAAATATTTGGCTCTTGAAAGGAGATGTACTTATCAAATCTAAGAGGCAGGTCTGCTGTGAAGGATTTTCATACAATCTTGGTATTAAAGGAATATGCGTTATCCATCTTGTCGTTAACATTAGACAGAGAAAAAAACTCTCAGTCTTCATAACAATCTATGCTCCACCTCTAAGTAACAGGAAATTCTTTGGTGAGGTAGACAATTACTAGAATCATTTCTGACAAATATCCTGCATACTGCAAGGATTAGAAATACTGTAAGGTTCGTGTGAGTGGCATTGCTAAGTTTTCTTCAATCCTTAGGTCACTGACTACCTGGAAGTTATAGATGAACCTATGGACTTCTCGACAATATCAAAGCGTATTGATGACAATCACTACACCACAATGGAGCAGTTTGAACGAGATTTCAATCTGGTCATCGGCAATTGTTTAAGATATAATGCTCCAGACACCATTTACTACCGTGCAGCGCTCAAAATGCGAGATCAAGGACGTCCCATTGTACGTGCCGCCAGGCGGCAAGTGGAGCGGGCTGGTATAGACCCAGTAACAGGTCTTCATACAGAGGAGCCACCAACACTGGCAGATAGAGAACCTACTGAAGAAGGTATGGAAAAAATAATTAATAGAAGTGATAATAGTAATAAAAATAATGATAACAACAATAGTGGTGATTATGATGACGATGATAACTATAAAGAAACTAATAATGATAATAATAATAATAATTATTATTGTTGTTGTTGTTATTATTATTATTATTATATTATTATAAAACGCTTTATTTTCACAAGAGTGGTTATAGATAAAAGTTTGAGGATGTTGAAAACAATGTTTCGAAAGCACCAAACAGCTACAAAGCTTCTTTCAATTTTTTTCATTTTTGCGGTGCATGACATTCCCATATTGGTTCGTTTCACGCTGATGTCTTACCACACAGTCTTACTCTTCACGTTAAATGTCTTGAACGTATCTTTTCTCTGGCTGAAGATGTGTAGTTTGTGAGGTACTTCAGATCGCGACCAGTGCGCCTTTTGTTCAGGTACTGAAACTTCAGTTTCATTGGAACAAGAAGAGAGTCTAGGACTTTGCATCAACCGCGATGTATTGTATAAATCGTGAACCTTTAATAGCAGTCAGGTGCACTTGTAGCATGATAAAGTTCTTAACAACATTTTCTTGGTTGGTTTAGATTTCGTCCTGACAGAGGAGCAGAGGAGGGACATGACTCTGGAGGAGCAGTTAAAAGATCTGCAGGAGAAACTGGACATGACTCAGGCTATTAAACATGGAGGTCAGATTTGTGATATGTTGCTGCAGTGTTTACTGCCAGGCGACCCCAGAAACCTTTGCGTAAACAAAAGGATCCGGTTGCTGGCAACTCACTCATTTACGTAATAGCTCATGACCTGGTTGTTCGGAGGATGGGTAATGCTATCCTCTTGAAAAATCCCAATCCGGTGGATAGCGCATTATTCTGTTGGTTAGTGTTATCCGCCATTTGGACAAACGGGCCTAAGGCTGTGACTAGCAGGTGATCAGCTTATGTGTCTGGGTCGCCTGTTCTACTTTGCGTTTATGAAAGCTTTTGAGGAACAAGATACCCCAGATTTCTGACAAGAGCGTTTAAGCACCTCGCGATTCTTTTCAGAGCATAGCTGAGTGAAAGTTAGATAAGACTTTTCTTTATTACTTTCTTTGTATGACTGTGGAAAGAGTTTTAAAACTTTTAGTACAAATAAGCTATCTTTTTTTTTTTCCAGGAGTCAGAGCTACAAGGGTTCGAATGTTACGTAAAGAGATCGCTCTGGTCAGGAGGAAACTTAACCAGGAGAAGAGACATCTTTCAGAATCAAGTGGTTTGTGATTTTCTTATTTGTTGTTTATTCGTTGACGCAGAGCAAGCTTCTTGTCATCAACTATCATTTTGTTTTAGGATTTATGTTTCGGTTGTACAGCAATCATTTTATCCTTTTAACTCTTTACTCCCAAGAGGTGATGAACATGTAACTCTTCCCTATGATATCCATACATTAACATGCAAACAGGTTATGAAAATACTCAAACTTATCTGGTAGAAATTGTTGTTTTGATCTAACGCTAATTTAAGGAAATGCGCAGCAGCTAGATGGGGGAATTCGAAATTAAATTTTGCGAGTTAAGGGTCGAACGTTTAGACTGCGTTAATTTTGGCATTTCATAAAAAAATATTCGTGGCAAAGATATCGTAACTGTTTCAGAGAAAAATAAATGGTCATCAAGGGTGTCTTATCTGTTGCGTAGAGTTTGTATCCAGTGTGTTTGATTTTCCTTTTTTATTTTTTTTAACCAGGGCTTTATTGTGGCAAACTAATTGTAAGAACTTGAACGTTTTAATGATGTCTCTCTTCCCAAGCGGTATCTTTTGTCGAGTTAGGCACAAGGGTTTTGAAATTTGATTTAAAGCGAAAAATTTCCTGGAGGAAATACTTAAGAAAAGTGATAGAAAGGTGAACAGGGATTTTTAAATTTTGATCTAGTATTTGTTGTTGTGTATAGCTGGTGGCCTGGACGGATGTAACCTCAGCGAGACCTGTCTGTCACCACTCGAAGACGAACAGCCACTGAAGAAATTTAGACCCATTGACGAGAATGACACTCTGAACGGCCCGCAGACCACCAAACATCTGGACACTGAAGACCATCGTTTGGTAGGTGACAGTCTCCTTAACAGTAGAGCTACTGCCAATCCTAGTCCTGGTACGAGCCGGCGCAGTGGAATCTTGTTCAACAAGGGAAGGCACAGGGCCAGGAGGAATCTTTCTTCGGGCGCCGACAAGTTCCCTTTCGATATTCTGCCACCAGCGAATCACGCGTTAAAGACAACAGACTCGGATAGAACGCTTGATCCTGTTGCCACGGAGTGCCAAGTGACTGAGAATTTGCATACGGATGAAGTCGGTGAAGAAGATACTGTGTTCGAGGACAGACATCAGCCAGCTCCCCAAGAGGAAAAGAGACCTCACAAACGACACTCAACAGACAATGATACTTTTTATGTACCCAAGAAAACTTATAAAACAGAACTCGGTAAGCTGATCGAAGACGCTACCCTGCCCATGTTTGACACGCATCCGTCCGACAGAGGCCATAACCACTTTGCGTGCGCGAATGGTCTGCGGCAGCGATCGTATCGGTCGTACACCAGCGGATCCGAGTCGGACATCAGCGAGAATGTGAGAATGAACGGCACTCGCGCTTCCCGAGAACTGTGTCGAAAGTTGTCGGTATTTTCCGAAGATGATGAACAGAGCACCGATACGGAAAACAGTTCTGCTGAAAATCGGGTTATGAACGGACCAGTAGACGGGAGAAAGAAAAAGAAACCCGCGGCAAGACCTCGAAAGACGACGTCAGATTCAGAGATTGCTGATCTCCCTCCTCTGCAACCGCTGGATTTAGTTTGGGCAAAGTGTCGAGGATACCCATCCTATCCTGCACTGGTAAGTACTGTCCTCAGGCAGTTTTACAGTCCTTATATTTTCAAGGGAGTCACATGGCGATGAGTTTAGTATCCTGTTCCAGGCGTTCAGCTGGTAAATCCGAGCGGAGGAGTAAAAAAATGGGGGAGGCTTGGGTCGGGCATTACGCAACCTGACCCAGGTCTCCCTCGTCACTCCTCTGCTATCATGTATGTACGTATTTGGGATATTTAGCCTGGCCCAGGCTTGTTTGAAAGGACGTCAGACCACAACACCAGGAGCTACGTTCCCTACTCTGCGAGAAGTGCATGGGTTGTTCAGCGTCCCCTGCTAACCAGTACAGAGGGAATTTAAGAGACGTCCTCTTCCGAGAGGTCTAGAATGTCGAACCATTTACAGCACATTCTCCTGAGTTATTTTAAGTCCCAGAGTGTTGGTCCAGTCTGGGGCTTGAACTCGACCTCCCGCACGGTAATCCGGTGCTGTGAAACATGAGCTAACTAAGCGCGGTGAAAGTGGCACTCTTCACCATCGCGCTTCGTTTTACTAACTGACTGCCTTGAACACGTTTTCTTTTAAGCTAGTACGAGTATCATGTAGAACTGCCATCACACCTGAACATCAGTGTGTATATTCGTTACACCGTTCTATATACAATTCTCATGTTACTGATAAGGCTGTTTAATAATCAAGAGCTTCTGTTGAGGTTCCCTTCAGTTTCAATTTCAATTTTTACAGCCTCGTGAATGCCTGTTTTGAGAATGATTTTAAATATATTCAAACATAACTTTTTTTGGTATGTTTTACTGTTAATTTTCATTATAAGTAATTTTCGTTATTTATTTATTGTCATGCTCGTGCATCAAATGTATTTAAGAAATCAATTTCTGCGTTGTTCCACTTCGTCGGAATTTCCGACTTTTGTACAGTTCTCGGCTGGAGAACTGACGATTTCACCTTTAGGGGTGGTGATGGTGGATATGAGGGTAGGGTCGGTGGTAGTGAACGGTATTACAGGCTCATTTCGTTGATTCTTTCATCAATAGATAATAGATCCTCGAACGAAGAAAGGTTTCCTTCACCATGGCGTGCCAATTCCTGTACCACCTGAGGATGTGTTGAAGGAGAGGACTATTACTGACGAGCATCTCTATCTTGTGCTGTTTTTCGACGCAAGGCGAACTTGGTAAGAGTTATGTGTCGAAGCGCAATATCCCTACGTAAGTGTGACTCATAAGAAAAAATTCGATATTACTTGTTATACCAGTGTTATCTCCCGTTTACATCGCACTCTGGGATGGGTGAGTTTATTTGACACAGCCCGCTAAAAATTAAATCTGTTTTTGTCTACCAAAAACAAAGTCAGTACTCGAGTCAAGTGTCCCATCTAGCTGGAGCTTACCCCGGTCCCCTTAACACGAAGCGACTTGAAGTATTTCTTCTTCCCTCTGGATGGGATGTTAGTCCATCGTAAGACTTTTATTTATCGTGAATTGAGCAAGGCTTGGGTAAGTTAATTCTTGCATTTGGTTAGATCAAAGGGGTGCGTGTTTTCCAGACCAATCACAGAGCGTAGTGAAGAAGAATCAATTCGATCACAGATTACACGATTATTCGATTTAATTCATAGTTTTGGGTTTTTCTGACTTAAGGCAATGGCTACCGCGTCACAAACTTGAACCACTGGGCCAACACGGAGAGAGAGACGAGAACAAGTTACAGGAGGGTCGGAAGACGTCCATGAGGAAATCTGTCATGCAAGCCTACGAACGGGCTATAATTCACCGAGACCAAGTACAAAGGGGTGACTCGCGGGACTCCGACGACGACGACGATAGTTACGGAGATGCCGACAACAATGACGAAGATCAGGGGGTCAACGCGAATGGTAACGAAGTCGAGGATGACGAGGACAGCGACAATGAAGTTGAAGACATCGATGAACGCGAACTAGAGGAAAATGGATTTGTTTAGAAGCTGTTTTTTATTGTCGTTGTTTGTTAGATATCTCGCTAGTTGTTCCAATTGGATCGATTTCAAATTGGATGTAGCTCAGATACAGTTTAGAGGGCTTCCAACAAAATATATTTCCTTCCACTGAAAATAAATCTTATGGCAGCTAATCCGTACGATACGATAGCACACCTGTTCACATGCAATTTTTTAAGCTAGAGAATTTAACATCCAGGAGTTTCTGAAATGTTTTTTTTTCCTCCGACTTCGATTCAAAATAAAGCGCAGCAAAGGCATGGAAGAGTTTTTCGATAGAAAGTGCGTTCAGATGCCATGTGGCAAGGACGTTTAATAAAGCACACGTAGCATTTTAAAACGTCGCACCATAAATTTGATCTGTACTATTGTATTTATACTTAGAAACCAAATCAGTCTGTAAATGTTCTTCTATTTTTTCTGAGACATCTCTTTTTTAACAAATCGAGTGAAACCCGTGAAGTTGTTGTTTTGTGTATCTACCCTTCATTCGTGTTGTATATCTTGTAAACCTTTGCAACCCAGGGTCAATAAACTCGTCTACAGTGACATTATTGCTGTTTGGTTTTGAGAGTAGCAGCGCATTTCGCAAGTTCTAAAACGAGAACTCAAAACCGAAGTTATCACAGCAGCCAATCACAGCGAAGTTTAGTATCACAAGCAGCCGATGAAAACTAGAAAAAAATACGTCAAATACCCTAAGCGCGCAAAAAAGCGATTGAACGAGCTGGCGAGAGTGTGAAACTGGGCAGAGGGCAAAGTAAAATCGATGCAATTCCGAAAAACTTTTGACTCTTCATTGAAAATTGTTCTTTTTAGCATTTAACCTAGAGTAACTGAAATAGGGGCATTTATGTAGCCTTTGTTTAACAATTGGTCATTGGTTATCGAGAGCACGACCAATGCGTAAGAACTGTGTCTGCTCGATCTTCGATCGCAGTCTTCGCTCATTGACATTTGTTACTCTCCATCATCGCACCTCAGACGGCATTCAACCCTGTAGGCGCTTCACGTAAGAGTTGCCTGGTAGCTGTCTCAAAATAAGTCCGCAAATCTAGCTCATATCTTCGAATGCGATGTCCCAGGCATATCGATATCAACGGACACGTCACTCCCGCTCAGTCCACTAACGGCCAGCAGGTCCGCTGCACCTGTAACTTCAGGAGGGAGACCTCCAACACCGGCGATATTATCGAGGTCAAAGCCCAGCGTGGAGTCGACATCAAAGGCTCCTGAGAATGAAAATCGTGATTTACATGTAATCATCTTCTAAAAGTGCCTCTACTGAAATTTAATCCTTCCATTCCTTAGCGCGAACAATACGTTGAAATATATCAGTATCCAGCACTAGGGCCTTATCTGTGGTAATGGATACATTTTTTTCGCTTTCAAATTAAAAATGGCTTAGCAAGTTCCATCGGATGAAAAACATCAAAGCAGGTTTCCATTTCCGATAAACACTCTATAAGAGCCGTAACGTGACGTCAGAAAGATTGGCTGATGACGTCACTTTCAAGAATATCACGCGATTTACTTACCGGCAGTGCCCGCAATACTCGGGTCTGCGACAGCACTGGCATCAAGGGCCGCGTCGATGTCGAAACCAGGATCTGATACGTCCAGTCCTGGTACTCCAGCTCCTGAAGGGGAAACAAATATAGTAACACTTGGATTAAGTCTTGGAAAGGTCATCTTCATAGAGATTTTACTTGCTTTTGCATTTTACGGAGATCTAAAATAGAGAACTTACGCACACATTTAGTGAACACAACGCGAAATGACATGTGAATCCTATAGCTACCTTTTACACCACTTATGTGTCGACCGCTGATTGACCGCAGAATTCCACTGGGGCAAAACGAAAAAGCGCTCGCAAAAAAGGCTCGATCCTTTGGAGTCAAATTACGGCGCGCTTCTTCCCACAATGACTACTTTTGTTGTTTTGTTTTGTTTTCATCAACCGCATACATCGAAGTAACAATTGTAATCGTACCTAATCCTGTTTCAAAATCCAAAGCCGTAGCACCTGACACGATCCCTGGTGGAAGATGAGATGCTCCAGAAAGATTCTGAAGAATCCCCTCTAAATCTGTCCCGTCAGCACCGGCGCCCCCTATATCGAACAAATCGGCGGTGGCGGATAATCCCTCAATTCCCGCGGAAACGATCCCTAGCCCGCTTGCAGCAGCTAAAGAGTCTGCGCCCGCCAAACCTACATGTTGACCAGCGGTGGAACTACCTGCAGCCACGACCACTGAACCATCTAACCCAGCACTTACATCCGGGAATGTGGTTCCCATGGTGAAGTTAGCTCCGGAGACAGCAGCGAGATCAAAAGGGAAGTTGTCTCCTTCCATTGACTCCGGATCGGGCGTTTCTTTGCTTTTCGATGGCGTTTGCCCAACTGGCGTTTTTACCGCGCTCTTTGGGACTTCATCGGGCAATTGAAAGTTCTCAATGACATATTCATCGTCTCGCTTTCGTTTAAGAGTTATCTTCAAGTTCGGTGTTTTTGCGGCTTCAGGCTTCTTCTCGGGTTGTTTTGCGGCCGTCGTGGTCAGAGAATCTGCCGCAGCGGCTGTAATATCCGTTGTATTAAAAGAAAACGTAGGAGATATTGAAGAAAACGTGAACGCACTGAAAGTCGGCGAGGGTGTTTCCAGGTTAAAACCTGTAAACGACGGTGACGTTCCCAGAAACACTGGCGTGTTGGGGTTGGACGGAGTTCCGACCGCCGCACCGAACAGAGCGGCACTGGAAGGGAGTGACAAACTTGCTAATTTGGTAGATGGTTGCCCCCCACCGATAGGAAGAAGTAGTTCCTCGCTTGCCTTAACCGGAAGTTCCTCTAGTTTGACGCTTTGTGCTTTTCTGATGATGCATCGCATCGCAGCTGGGATTGAGAGACATCTGTAAATAACGGCAAACATTTAATTCAAAACAATGCTAAAATAGCAGTGATGTCTATAAAGCAGGGGAGGGTCTACGTGACATTTAGACTGTCCCACCCCTCCCCCATTTGGCACGCCCCTTCAATGTCCAAAATATCGCCTGGCATTTTCAGCTCATTTCCATTCAATTTCGTTAAAACCACCACCAAAGTTATCTCAACGGTGAATCAGAACAAAACAAAATATCACTTGGAGCCAATGAAGACTCACACCTTTAAACCCTAAAGAGAGACCAGCATCCAACTTCTCCTCACAATAATACTGCTAAATTATTCAATAAGTTCATGAGAAAAAAGGAAATGATCACCAACCTAAGAAGCTTTGACTGTTTAACGAATTCCTCTCGTCAATATCAAAAGAAACGTATAGAAGTTAGGGTGTAAACGATTAAATAACGTCAACTGCCCTGAGCGCGGGAAAGTCGCATTTGGCTGTAGTTTTAAAGCGCTCATGTTGGAATTTTCCTGTGAAGTATAAACCTTGAAGAATCATGTATCTACTTTCCTCTTACCTCTGAGTGACTCTGGAAATGTAATCATTCGAACAGAACAGTGGTTTTCCAGGCACTGTTGTGAGGGTAGCTTTGATCATGTCATCCTCAGAGACGAAAAAATCAACTGGAATCAAAAAGGGGGAGAGCGGTGAAAAATTTTGAACGGAATTATTGAGGAGCTTTGTTCTTGCGAGGTGCATGGTGCTCTAAAGGTTAATAACAAAAAGTCAGGTTACATGTCAAGGTTTAAGTGCTTTTAAGGGTCAATTTAGTTTGTTCTTAGAGAGGATCATTCTCTTGTGGGAGGAAAAATCATTTATGCAAATTGCGGGTTAAGAAATGAATTTATAAAATAATTCAAATAGTACGCGCGCTCTAATTGGCCATAAAACCATTTTACATGAGCATGACATGTAAATAAGCTGGAAACCACTCCGCTTCGCGTCGTGGTTTCCTACGCTTATCTCGTGTTCTCCCAACCTCCCAAGTGTTTACATCAGGCTATGTAGACACGGAAACCATTTTACATTTCTTCAGTGAAAGTGATCTTCACAGTAATGAACACTACTTAAGCAGTATTGAAAATCAGGCCTGAAAAACATTCAGGCCTGTATTCCCAGTTAGTTAGTCATCACTTAACGAGTTTATTATGAACGACCATAATGACGAGCTCCCAGTTGGCTTCTTAGCTCAGTTGGTAGAGCAATGCACGGATACCGCAGAAGTCATGGGTTCTAAATCCCTGAATTTTTTGGATGCCTTATTTGCTCTACTGCTTAATATGGCTTTCATATTCATTACCGTATTTCTTCACTTATAAGCCGAGATCCTACAAGTTAGAGACCTTCCGACAGACTCGTGTTGTCCAAAAAAAAACAAAAACCATCAGGCTACAAGCCGAGAGCGAAATTCTTGATTGTAACCAGTCATTTGAGTAAGCGAACCTCACGGAAAACATTGGGAAATGGAAAAAAGCGAGTCGGTGAAGATGTAAATACTACCACGCGACTGCAGAAACACTAATACTCAGTTACTGTAACCTGAAAAACGTTTCAATCGAGTATCTCTTTCGTCGCTGCTATTTTTCTCATCACGCCAAAAGCACGTTGCTCCTCGTATACAACGGCTAAAAGAATACAAGACCACCGAAAATTATTCTTTACAAATTCTGCGCAAAAATCAGATTTGTTCATCACGTCCCCGAGTCTCCACGCGTCCCCGAATTCCACCTCTCCGAGTCCCACGTCCCCGAGTCCCCGCGTCCCGCGTCCCACGTCCCCGAGTCCTACGTCTCAGAGTCCCACGTCCCCGAGTCCATTCTCCATTGTCCTGTTTCACTTCAGTTAAGTGAGATCGTCTTTCAATGCGTGGGAAGCAAAGAATCTGATTGGTGGTCAAAAATACGTTTTGTCTTGACAATTTTAAAACACGCTACAGTCACGGAATTCAAGGTCATTTCGCATTAACATTGCAATTGTACTTGTTTTTGAATCCCAAACCCTCGGCTATAGGACGAACCCTGTTTCTCGTGAAAAAATCTCCCAAACTTTTGCGTCAAATACTGTAAAAATCGCTCGGCTTACAGGTGAAGAAACACGGTAAGTAGGATTCTTGATTGTTAAACAAATTCTCCTCGTCAGCACCGTGGGAAATGTACTGAAAACAGTATGGAGAATATGAATAGAGATGTTAGGGTGTAAAGGGTTTGGGTGTTAGCCTGAAAATGTATTCAAGGGGAGTTTTAGTTCGTGGACCTACTTGACGCCATGCTGGATGTACACGGATGTTCAAAAGTAACTGTTAAGGTGAATGGCTCAGATGATCTTAACTCAAACAGGTAGTCTTCGCTGTTGGGTTCTAGAAAAAAACGCATACACGAACTGTTAACTTTTAAAGTTGATTGAGAACATTTTAGATTTGGGAAATTTTCAATTGTGTCGAAAATAGTCCGAGATTGCAATGGTTTTACATTACTCCGCTCTACGATTGGTCTAGAAAACTCGCGCCACTCTTTCAACCAGTCACATACAGAACTAAAAGCAATCCTGACTTGGTTTCCCGCGTTTTTCTGCGCTAACTTGGTTGCCCGCGTTTTCCCGCGCTGACTTGATTGCCCGCGTTTTCCCACGCGGACTTAGTTGCCCGCGTTTTCCCGCGCTGACTTGATTGCCCGCGTTTTCCCGCGCTGACTTGGTTGCACGCGACTTCCCGCGCTTTTGGCAGTTGGGTTGATTTTACCTTGAGTTGTCCTTAGCTCTGAAAGGAATTTTCCTTTCTTTTGATCAGCGGTTATGATTACTTTGGTTTGATTTAAGCGCTCTAGCTGTCGTAAAACCAAAAGCACACTAAACACAATGGCCACAGCAAAGGTAAATTTGTCGAGGGGGAAAAGAGAAATTGAACTAAATAAGCGCAAACAGGCCTGAAGCGCGGGAAAACGCGAGTAACCTGCTCAAGGCTGATTTCATCTTTCCATCAGATGGCTGAAAAGTTGGCACGGATGTTTTTGACAAATTTCCGAGCAAAATCAATACATAAAAAATCAACTTACTGCCGACACCCAGTACAATGATGTTTAATCAAGTGGTCAAGCACATCCAAAGAGGCAAATGCGTGACAAACATATAAATATGATAGATACGATTTACAACTTAACCCTTTAACCCCTAACAGTGACTGGCGTCTAATTTCTCCTTACAGTTGCACTCGAATCAAATGTAAAGGTCATGAGAATAAACCGAATGATCACCAATTTAAGAAGGTCCTGATTGCCAAAATATTTCTTTTTGTCAGCAATAAAGGCAATGTAAAGACAACAGTGTGAAAATAAGAGTATTAATGTAAGGATGTAAAGGGTTAAAGGCTTACCGTCTCGTGAAATCTGAACACTTACTTTTCTTGAGTGGCTTATGGCTTCTTAATGCGCTCGTGAATAGAGTGTTGAACATGGCTTGACGTCGAAGCAACTGGAGAAGGAAAAAAAAATCAGCTATTTGAGATAAATCGTCACCAACAACGTATAAAGAGGCTCTATAAAAGGGCGATATATAATGACCGGCTCCCAACTAGCAAAAAAAAACATCTTGAAAACGTCACATTTATTTGAGATAAACTCAGAGTTTGTCTGTCCATTAAAGAAAATACCCTTCCAGCAATGACGTCGCCTAACGTCAGAAAGGTTTTTAGCAACCGCTCTAATAAAAATTGCACATAAAGCCACACCATCCAGATGGAATCTCCACCGAACCAAGTACAAAAACTGCACCCTCTCGACCTTCACATTTACTTGAGAGGTTATATTTAATCCTAAGAGGAATCGGAAGGGAGACAGTGGGATTTAAGAGGAGGTATGAGGGGTGGGGGGGAAGGGCGAAGGGGAAGGGGGAAGGGGTTTTAAGGTTTAAGGTAGTGCTCAAAACCGTACCGGTATTATTTCCGGGATATGACTGGGGTGTGTAAATCCGATCCTATACAGCAACAGACCCATCCCAGAAGGCTGCACTAACTCCTCTGCTGATGATTGGTTCTCTGTGACATGATACACGTGGTAATGCTGTGGTAAGCTCTGTAACGTGAGAGAAATGGGGAAAAATTAAAACACAACGAGAGATAACATGTATTTTCCTTTAAATTCAAAGCTCACATGATTGCCAGATGATGGCAGAGAAAAGAAGTTTTTTTCTACGCTTTTCACAGTTGACAAATCTCCCGGCGCTCGGCAGAGGTTGTTTGATTTCCTGGCCTTAACGCAGATTGTTAGGTTTCTTACCAAACCCCCCGCCCCTCCTCTACGGCATGGGTTGTATTACTTCCTATGCAAATTTCAAACGGATACAAATTTGCTCACTTACTGCGTAATAATTATTCCCATGGTCACTTGATGAAACGCCTCTATCTTTTAACCACTGCAAGACAATTATAAAATAATGACAAAATGTATGAGGAGCATTTCATTGTCAAAGGAAGCGGTTAGTCAACTTGCGAGCTACTCTTTAGACAAAGAAAGGTATCTACATCTCTACCTAATTCAGGGCGTGAAATTGCGCCTAATACAGGCGCCAATGCGACTAAATTTTTCCCTTTGGCGACCAAATCCTGAAAATTAGTCGCCAAATTGGCGACTAGAATGTTTCATCATAACCTTACCAAGAGATATCGTGAATTAAAAAGATTTGCAAAGATAAATCCGCAGCGAACTTCCTCGTTAAGTTTGTTTCCAAAACGCAGCACATGCGTCTCGATCGATAACTAGACGCCATCTTGAATTTAGGTGAGCTTGAGAGTTGTATATCATCCATCCTAGTGTCCACTTTGTAGCACGTTAAAGATCTTTCCCCTAACTTAATTTGGAGGGTCTCTCTAGAGCGCTGACAGCGTAAAAAAAGGTTTTGTTTGTCTTTGAAAATGGCGACCAACTTTTTTTGAATTGGCTACCACTTTGAAGAATTTAGGAGCCAAGTGGCTATCAGAAAAAAAATTAATTTCACGCCCTGCTAATTCCATGTCAAACTCTTTATTGGCACATTCCCGTAAGTTCTCTCTCGTAAGCGGACGCAGGCACTTGTACAAAAGTAAGGATTGGAATTTTTTCTTCTGTGTACGCTCTCTCGTAAGCGGACACCTTATACATGATAATTGACTCTTGGTAATTAAATTTGTCAACACAAAATTTGCAAATCAACAAAAATATGACCTTTGACTGAGCAACAGAACAGCGGCTATCGGTTTTGTCAAATCTCCAATTGTGTGCGTGTAAGCAAGCTATCAGAAAACACTTGTAACCTATTTAAGGACCTTAAGTGAAGATAGGAACATTTTTTGAACGAATTGGTGTGCTCTTTTTACTTCTTTCGTTTGTTTCTTTATTTTCGCGCATAGGCTATGACAAGGTATTTTTTTATCGTTATAAACGACCCACAAAAAAAAAGACTTGCTTGAGTTTTGTTTCGTCTGTTTGTTTCTTTTTATTTTGGTCTAATGGCGGCACAAACTGCTCTTACCTCTCTTATTATAAGGCTGTCAATTGGCACCGTTGAAGAATGGGTAAACGAACCTTTCAAAAGAAGAGAAGAGAAAAGCGTATTTATATTCAACAAAGTAGCTGCACTGTTTCTCAAATTCTCTCTTCAGTTCTCAACAATCATCTCTAGAATATGAAAATTCATCAAATAGACCTTTGAGTGAAGGATCCCGTTCCCCGAAAAGCCAACCTAGGGCGTAAAAGGAGGGCCCATGTGGTAGATTAGCGCTCGGCGAGCTGAACTCCAAATTTAGAGGTCTGCGCACAACCCTGGCCAGATCACCGCTAACAAGTCCCTAAACTACGCGGACGCGCGGTCGCGACGGCTTTGCACTACTACGACAAATGGGACGATGGTAAGGAAGAAGAGAAAAAAAGAGACACTCCTTTTTCCATTCCCATCTTTCTCTGTGCGCACCTCGCGTGCACTTCCCTCGTTAATATCTTAAAATAGAGAGAAGACTGGAGACGACTCAAAGGTGGTCGTCGTGCTGTGTTCCTGGGTGAGACATTTTAGCCTCACAGCTATCGTCTTAACATCATCATAGCGGAGCTCGCAGAGCGTAGCCCCATAATTATACAAAATAGTAGTAACCCATCTAGCCGAAAAATTTTGGATGTAAGACCGTACGACCGTACGACCGTACATGGTGCTATTTTTAACATGCATGGTCAACTGTACCGCGGGCACACCAACACCACGGCTTTGTCCAGTAGTCCAGTGGTCAGTGCACTAGGCTCCGAGTCGGACGACTCGGGTTCTAGTCCTGGCCAGGGCAAGGCATTGTGCTCTTGAGACGTGCAGGAAAAAAAATGCGAGCTCCGCTTTTAGGCTTGGCTAAATCTATATATTACGTACACCTCATTAGGTATCTCCACTGAATTTGTACCTGTTTTATTGATAACTTCGTGAATCTTCTGAACAATCTCTACCGCTGCTGGTAACGGCTTACAAAACTCCAGCACAAACGAAGCTTGGAACTCCTCACTGTTGTTGTCATTCAGCGGCTGGTACTTGATGCTGCAACAAAGGGAGTTGATCAATTGACATTATGGTGCTATATCTGAGAGGATGATAGTCCTAAAATAGTATTTAACGAGAGTGACGGAAACCTCCATAATCCTTACAACTGACTTTAACCCTTTCCCTCCCTGACTAGGAGGATTTTTTCCGACAACGGGAGCTCATTACATCTATACATAAACTATATTTTGCCTTGAATTTACAGAGTAGCACACAGATGCTGATATATCTTTGAGCTTACTACATTAATAACCAATACAACTACGAGTTAATTCTATAAAACAAGTAAAATAACTAACTACCTGAACAACTGACTTGCTACATTAATTAGTGTACTTAATACTGCAATACATGATTTAAATTCTACTTATTGGTTCCCATCAAAGTTATAAGTAGATAATATATAGATTTAGCCAAGCCTAGCTCGGCTAATGCGGAGCTCGCATTTTTTTTTTCCCGCACGTCTCAAGGGCACAACGCCTTGCCCCAGCCAGAACTAGAACCCGGGTCGTCCGACTCGGAGCCTAGTGCACTGACCACTGGACTACTGAACAAAGCCGTGGCGTTGGCGTGCCCGCGGTACAGTTGACCACGCATGTTAAAAGTAGCACGGTCGTAGTCCAAATTTTTTGGGTTTGATGGGTTACTAATATTTTGTATAATTATGGGGCTACGCTCTGCGAGCTCCGCTATTAGTCGACGAAAATAATTAAAATCAGAAATAGTGCGGTGATGGTCAGGAAAAAAGTACCGCAATTTTCCTGCCACTTGACTGAAGAAATTGATGCCGTAAGAAGTGGTAGATGGTTTAGGCAAAGAGAGAATATTATGTTCTCTACTAAAATACGAGCTAGAGCGTAAGGGAAACATATCTTTTAAATATCTTGGATCATCAAGAAAATGATTATTTTCAAAAATAAGAATCTTTAATTAGTAATTTCAGTCATTCACATGACTTTTTCATTTGATCCAAGGGTGATACGGAAAGGAGAAATTAGAACCCAGATCCTCTAAGGGATGAAGGGGTAAAAGAGAGGTCAAAGGTCATCATCAGAGTCGAATAAGGTTTCGTTTGGAAGCCTAGTATTCAAACTCCATTGATTATGCAAGAAGACGTAATGACGTAATTAGCATTAAATTTATTAAAGGGTGTTAGTTCGTAACGGTCAGCTTAAGAGAAAGTCACTCCGCCCCAACTCAACTCTCCCTTTTCTGCTGACTTATTGGCAATCCGTGCTACTCCCTCGCACTTCGACAGAGTGAGGGGGAAGGGTAACCCATACCTTTCAGGAGGGATACCGAACTGCTTTAAGTCACGTTCGTGAAATTTTTGGCGATCAGTTTTAATGTGAATTTGTTGGATGCACTACTTAAGTAGCATTCATCCGTTCTGTGTGGCGGAGTACATGTATATCGCCAAGGTACATTTATGGCTCCCCCCTCCCTGGACACAGTCTTATCTACTTCAAGGCTTGCCATGGTTTTATCGTAACCTTTTCAAGTTCGTAATTCGCAATCTGTGTCAATCTTCTCCAAACGAAACCATCCCTGTGCCTTTTGTGTTTTTCTAGCTTGGCGAACTAAAGTTGCGTAATCATTTACAATCCGTGCATCCTTAGCCATTCTTTGCTACTGCCTATTTTTTGCATGCTCTTCTATCATACGAAACTAATATTTTTTAATTCATTTACGATCCGCATCAATCTCCATCCCTAATCATTCCTGTTTGTTCATGATTCATCACTGTTTTGTAATTTTGTTTCTTGCTCATACTAATTTTTCCTAGTCTTTCTTTAATCCGTGGCACAATTTAATTTTCTCCTTTACCAGCTGTCCGTGTCTCTTTAGATTTATTCTTGCCCTTTTATAATTTACTTACACTGAAAACTATTACTTAGAGATTTTTTTCCCATTGACAGTAATGTTAAACAACCCAGAGGAGGGCAAAAGAGAGAGAAAAGAAAACACAAAAAATTCTGACACACAGCTCATTTGAGCCCTTTACACCCTAACATCAGTATGGATATTCTCCATACTGTTCTCCGTACATTTCCAAAGGGGCTGACGAGGAGAATCTGTTTAACGATCAAGAGCTGCTTTAGTTGGTGATCAACTCCTCTATTCTCATGACTTTCAAGTGTGATTCAGGGGTGATATGGTAAGGAGAAATTAGATGCTAGTCACTCTTGAGGGCTAAAGGGTTAAGACCCGTAAACTCACCTCGCATCCAGTCCCAACATGCTGTAACAAGGCTCGGTAATGAGTGGACTGATTGGAAGAGATGTGTCCTGGGATTGCTCCAGCGACACGTAAACTTGATAACCAAAGTCTCTTGGAGGGGGTTCTGTCAATAAAGTGCTCGGTTAATTCCATTTGTCAAATCAAAAGAGGCATTTTAAATTTGAAAAATTTCCAACTGACCGTCGAAAGTGTCGCAAGACTGCATTGGCGTTGCTTCATCATGCTCTGTGATGGGTTCTAGAGAAATCACGCCACACACCGCTCTCACATCAATAACACGCAAGACTAAACCAACTGCGCCGTGGTCAAACGCGTTTTCCCTTGCTTGAGGTCGATCACGCGCAGTTAAGACAAATTCTCATTGGCTCGTTGTATTTTAAACCTTTGTTGTGATTGGTCATTGGGAGTCGCTCTGGTTCAATATTAAAAGCTTCGCCAAAATTCGCATTATGATCTCAAATTTCCATCTTGAAAGCTTCGTCAAAATTCGCATTATGATCTCAAGTTTCCATCTTGCTTTTAAAAGTGTTCACTCAACAAACACTTTTGTCACCATACTAAATCTGAAGGCAAAAATTAACGCACAGGTCATAGCTAACTACACCTCTGGCGGGACACACACGTCTCGATATTTTAAAGGCTACCAATAGCGCTTGTAGTCTAATTTTATCTTTACCTTCTCTTGTAAAATGTCGATCCTGTCCAGGCCTGTTGACATCCAGTAACTCATATGGGGAAGCAAAATAACAGAGGCGCATTCGACGGCCTATGGCAAGAAATGCGAGTAGCCTTCATTAATCATAGTATCAATATTAAAAGGCACTTTCTAACAAAAGATTCCAGCATAATTCCCGTCTTCATATTTCCCTGATTTCCCAAACCCTGGTAAAACCAAAAAATTGCCGAAGATACTCCGGTGCGTTCCAAAAATGTTGATACTTATCCGCTGTCATTCGAAAATGGCCGAAAACGTCCGAAGACATCCAAATCTCGTTCAAGATAGTTCTCGACACCAACTCTGGTTGGTGTTGAGTCTTTCACACTGAAAGTACAACCAGCAGTTTTCCTGTAGCTGTGATGCGCAGAGTTATCTCTCAAACATGCTATTTTTCGACCACTTACGATAAGAAGTTGGTCAGACTTGAATCGAAATGTTGTACGAACCTCCTTGTCTCGGGGTGATAAAGCCGACAGGACATTGTGTGATGGCTTCGCTGGAAGTCACATCTGTGCTGTTAGAGAGAAACGGCAAACAGAGTTAGCATGGGAGGAATTCAGTTGAAAGTTTTTAAGGGTCGAAAATTAAATTATTTACGTCTGTACCTTTTTAAAAAATCTTTGAATTCCACGACGTTTCAAGACTTTTTCCAAGACCTTTTTGTCGTTTTGCATTGTTAACAATCAAGAAAATTTTAGTATAACTTGAAGACGATCGCGTAATGAAAGCATTTTTTTCCTTTTTACTTTCTCATAAATATCGTTTTCAGTCATTTTCCATGACCTTCCACAATTAAACTCTATGACGGATATTCTTTCTAAAGTTTTGTTGTAGTTTTGACAAACGGGTCACAGGATTTTTCTTTCCTCAATTCAGCCAGTGATCATACTGGTAACTGAAAAATTGAAATCCGCTTGGAATGACCACAGACTAAATTATAATCCATTGGGTCCTATTACCATTATTAGTGATAAGAAATTATCATTACCCAAAGAATGCTGCCATTGTATTAATATCGGTTTCCACTGCTTTGAGAGCTGCAAGAACCTTTGGTTTTTGAAATCTGAAGAGTGATATAATCAAACAATTAAAATAATAATAATAATAATAATAATAATAATAACTGTGCAATTTTCAATGGAACTCAAGGTTCCAGTACAATGTCAAGCAGAGAGGAGACGAGAGGAAATAGAAATATCAACTAACCCAGGAAAACCTCCATGATTCAACATCATTTTTAAAGCTAAATTTAAAGGAAACATGCAGCAGACAGCACACGCTGTTGAAAATTGGCAATGAGATCTTGAGAAAGAAAATGTTAATTACTGTATATACAACTCACGTGTCACGAGAGAGCTGATAAAGATCACATAATCCTTGTAAATGGCACAAAAATTCATTATAATCTCCCTCCCTGCAAAATAGTTAAATAAATAGTAAACCCTTTCATAGCCTAACTCAGTATGCATATTCTCCCTACTGTTCTCTATACATTTCCTGCGGTGCTGACAAGGAGAATTTGTTTAACAATCAAGAGCTTCTTTAGTTGGTGATCATTTCCTTTATTCTTATGTCCTTAATGTGTGATCCATGGGTAATTAACCCTTTAATTCCCATGAGTGACCAAGACAGAATTTCTCCTTACAATATCAACACAATATCAACCAGATAAGTGATGAGAGTAAAGAAATATATAAATTTGGGGATAATTAGTTGATCCAATACTTAATTCTCTGAACTAACATTATAAGAATTGTATGGTTGGGAGTAAGGAGAATTACAAATTTGATCTGGGAGTTAAAGGGTTAAAATGAAAAAGGTAAGAAACTTCCAATTAGTAGATGACAACATTTTAACAAGATACCTAATACATAAAGATAAGATGATAACAGACTTAGCAGAGTGAAGATCATCATTAAGTTAGTAGCATCTACTGAAGAATCAGAGCATCTTTGATTTTTTGTGTTAGCAAGGGCTCCATAAGCAGCTGCCAACAGTGTAATGGGCCACTGTGCCATAAGGTGAAATAGAACCACCAGAACAGATTGCAGTAAGAGACTTACAGGCAGGGGAAGACTGCTTTTTACTGACTTTTATTGAAACCCTTCCACCTGATTATGCAATTATTATTTACATCATTAAATTAAAGAAGTTGAACTTATTTTTCTACCTTAAAACTCTTGTTAGCTCGGGGCAACTCTGTGGAAAAAGTTGAGAATTAAACACCAGTCAAAACAAACAAGAGAGAGCAATCTTCTTCATCATTTAAATTGACCAAAATTATTTTCAACTAAAAACCAAACAAAGCCTCTGTCTCTTGCCTCAGGATCTCCAGTGTGTGCCACTTTCACTTCTGAAACTGTACCATCAGCTGCCATTCGAACCTGAGTTTTCCAAAGACAAGAGGAAAGATTTACTCAACAAGTTTTGACCACTTTCATAACCTAGCTTTGTCTATCAACAAGGAAAGGCTTTTTTATGTGGTAAATAAAAAAAATATATTAATATGATAATCTAAAACACATTTGGCTTCTGACTGCAAGGAATAGAATCTCTTCTTGACAATAACCTCTTTAAAATTTTCTCCACACCCTAATCGACTCTTTAACTCCCAAGATCAAAATATCAATTCTCTACACTATACTTCATACATTTCTTATAATTTTGGCTTTGAGAATTTAGTGTAAAATCAAACAATATCCTCACATTTTTGTTTTCCTTTCTTATCATTGCCTTTTTACTAGAAAATGTATTTACATTTTAAGGAGAAATTTTCTTTAAGTCACTCCTCGGCGTGAGAGGATTAACATGCGCAAAAAACTGAGAGAAGATAATTTTATTACACTATCATAGCCTAATACTATAACCCTTTAACTCTCATGATCTCATTAGTAATTCTCTTAACTGTCTGCCAAATGATTCTCATTATGTTAGTTTGGAGAATTTGGCATCGGATCAATTAGTGATCCCATAATTGATATTTTTCTTTATTCTCATCACTTGTTTGCATGATAATCTACTTATAAAGTGAGGAGAAATTCTGTCTTGGTCACTCACAGGAGTTAAAGGGTTAAGTAGGTTACATTGTATTATAAAACAGACATTCCCTTTAAACACACCTCAACATAAAACATGTCAGAATTTATGAAGCATTCTCTGCCACTTTCAATAAACTTCAACCTGGTAAAAAGTCATGGTAATATCAGAACTGTTAGTCTACATAACATGCATCAATCAATATAAAGCCTCAACGTCTCCTCTCCAGGTAACCTACCAAGCATTTGAACTTTTGAAGACTGGTTCATTCCAATTCCTGCTCCCGAAGACCAACATTGAGTTCAAATGCCAGTTCAAATACCCACCCCTTCCTGGCAAGGTCCAAAGTTCCTCCCCCCCCCCCAAGGTAAAGATGACAGTCAAATGCCAGTGGGTTGCTCTGGGAGGAGGGGGGGGCATGGTAAGGCAATAAATTAATTGACACATTATATGATAGGCTGAATTATATATGCATATTGATCACAGAAGACATCACAGTGTGGTAAGAACATCAGGAACACACCCCACCACACCACCCCCCACCACACCACACCACACCACACCACACCACACCACCCCTTGTGTGCCTCCTTTTTTGCTCTGGCCACAATTTAGTATCATTTGTTATCTATTACTGAACAGAAATTCTGCAGCAGGGAACCTTATATTCAGATTTATGAATCAGATTTCATTGAACTGAGAACAAAAAGTTTCTTACCCAACTTTTCTTGTGATGGCTTCAAGTCTCTGTGCAACAACCTTTATTGATTTGTCTTTCATGGCATTTTGCAACTTGTCTAAACATTCTGAGATGTAATTTTTTACCGGTGCAAGGTTTTCAACTTGTTGTTGTCTTTCCTGGTTTGGGAAAAGAGAGACTGAGGTTAACCAAATACTTCAATTCTTTGTGACAGAGGAATCTGGTTTGCACCAAAGTTTCTGCAGCATAAGCCCTTTACACCTTAACATCAGTATGCATATTCTCCATACTGTTCTCTACACATTTCCTAATTTGCTGACAAGGAGAACTTTAGTCAGTGATCGTTTCCTTTATTTTCATGACCTTAATGTGTGACTTGGGGGTGATATCGTAAGGAGAAATTAGATGCAAGTGACTTATAGTAGTTAAAGGGTTAACAAATTTGGAGTGTTGTCACAGTCCCAGGAGTGCCAGGTTGTTGGTCATAGACAGGCTGCCCTGTCCTGTGTGAAAGAACACAACAATGTCCCAGCCATGTCTTGCACAAGGATTTCCCAACCAAGAGTGTGAGGGGCAAGTCATTAAGCAGCTGTGTCTTGTATAACAATGATAAGTGTAGTGATTTAAATCTTGATTATGGGGCTGTCATAAATGCTGAATCAGACATATCTTACTAGACCTAAGCAACATTCAATAAAGTGAAATTTAAGACGACTTACCTGAGAAGCTCGAATGGCTTTGGCAGGATCAGGCCAACTTGCACAGCTCTTACACTTTGATCTAATACTGTTAAGTAAGTCATTAAACTTACTGTGTTCCAAGTAAAAGTTTAGTGATCCAAAGGCATGAACTGAAAGACAACAAAGTGTTTACAAAAAGAAACACTTTGCCTTATTTACAAAAAAATGTCTTGAGCCTCTCCTGAGCCTAGAAATCCACCCTACCATCAGTATGCATATTCTCTATACTGTTCTCCTTACATTTCCTGTGGTGCTGACAAGGAGAATTTGCTTAACAATCAAGAGCTTCTTTAGTTGGTGATCTTTTCCTTTATTCTCGTTACCTTAATGTTTGATTCTGGGGTGATATTGTAGGGTGAAATTATATGTCTGTCTCTGTCAGGGGTTCAAGGTTCAAAGCACGCCACTGCTATTACACACTTTACATTGTTCTGATTGCTCTCGCATTTGATAATTATTGTTCCATAATCAATCCATCTGTCTATATCAATACATCCATCAATCTCTTTATGTGTAAATGTGAGGAACAATCTGACGTAAATTTTGTACGATCTGCACAAAAATCAAAGGGACAAAAAATAAGGACGAAAATACGAGTTTAAGGGTTCTGCGGATCGGAGTTCCGCAAATCAATGAGGTGGACCCGTAACGTTTACTTCCGGGAAGTAATTATTGAACTGATCCATCTTAATGTTTACAAGAAATATATTTAAAAGACAATCCTACACAAAAGTGATAAGTGCTAAGTATTTCATCATTGGAGCAACAACAAAAAAAAAACACAAGGGACGACGCGTCAAAGTATTCCCAAACAATCCTCGAAATATCATATCGATCGTTATGGTCCTTCTTAGGCCACTGATTTAAGACGTTTTCGCTGATCGCCCCTTCAGTTAATACTCACTTTTAGTGCCATCAAACTCTTTGCCTTTCAATCCAAGCTCTTCTTCGTAGCTATTCACAAGTTCCTTCAACTGAAGACAACATGATCCACATGTTCTCATTTCAACTGCAGCCGCCATTTTGTTTTAGAAGCTCTTAATTGTCATGCGTGTATCACCGCTGATCATGCCTACATAAAGGCTCAAGAGTCCCCAGTCAGGCAACACGTCGTTCGGTGAGGAGCAAAGGGAAGGGGTACTAGCCCAGAATTTAATTTTGTTTAGTCAACTGAGTTGATAATGTAAACTGGCCAACGTAAAAAATTTCTGCAGCTTACGTTTCGAGCGTTAGCCCCTCGTCAGAGCAACGAAGTAACCCGGATGGCTTTAGCTTTTAATTACTTAACTTTGCTCTGTGATTGGTCCAGACAACTAGCGCCTTCCTGTCAATCAATCAAATGCAAAACTAAGAACAGTCGTGACATGGTCATTCGCGTTTTCCCAAGTTTTCTAGCGCTTCAAGCAACTTTAGTTCTCATTGGCTAATGATTATGTAAACCTATGTTCCGATTGGTCGTTGGATTTTCTTTGGTTTTGGCTTTTCGACAGTCAATTGACAACTGCTCTAACACTTTCGGTACTATCCTAGTTTTAACTTTGAGTTCTCATCGACTGCTTTAGGAGCTCATGTCCTTTACGGACGGTAAAGATGAAGAGATGAAGACGACTCGCACACAGCTCGCTCACGCAATTTCTTGCTCTCGCTCTCCATCATCGCTAGCATTGCGCCCCTTCATCGTCTTGAATTTGAGCTCTTTTCATGAAATTTTCCTTAGAGGGGCCAAAATCAGAGGACGGGTATCCTTTGATACACACGAAAATTAAAAATAATAATAATAATAATAATAAATAAAATACAACGATAATCCGCACTCCTGTTAATCTTTTTTCGCAAGTGTGAAAAAAATTGCAAAGGATAGTGGGATATGTTAGGAAAGGAAGGATTGGAATATCGGAATATTGGAATAAAGCAAAAGAAAGGCGGAATTTGCGTACTTTTGATATGAAGACGTCCCCGCATAAGGCCGCCATTTTTTTTTCTTCGCGTTTCCTGGATCGTATTACCTAAGTGAGCTCGAGTAGCTTACATTCCGCAAAAAGATAGTCTAAAAATAAACTGTTCTGTGAAAATGCCGTGACAAAGGGTCAGTATAAAAGTTGAAGGCTCCAAGTAATGGGCTCCTGCTGCTTTTGTTATTTTCTTGTGTTTCTCTAAGTCATATCAATTTTTTTGCGACACGAGACTAACAGACGCCTTCACTTCATGTTATATATGGAACTAATAAACATTTATATCCGAATTACAATTAAAGCATACTTAATATGACTTCGTGTCGTTTTCAACGGATACAACTTAACGATTCTTATTAAAAATTGAAAATCAGACATCTTAGCTTTGCTATCCATTAACCAATGAAAACTCTCTTGAAATACTTTACTCAAACTAAAGTCTTACTCATGTTACAATTAAAGGAAACATCCACCGAAAGAAATATCTCACCGACGTAAAGTGATTGACATGTTAATGCGTAGGAAATGAAGTGTTGGATAAGCCAAGAGTGACGTCATTTGAAAATGTTATATAAGTACATAAAATAATTGTGAGACTACGAGCGCCATTATTTGTCAATAAGCTATAATTTATTGCAATGGTAAAACCATGATTTATTTTGTTAAAACAAAAGACAGCACTTTCTATCGGTTTACCGGCATTACCATTTGCGTTGTTGTGAGAACGCCCGAATTGATTATAACTCACTCGCATCCGGTTCGCGATTTTCAAACTTGTCTCATGTTCTCCCAATATCCTGAGTGGGTTATTTCCCTGATAAACCGATAGAAAGGGCGGTCTATTAGTTAAGTATATTATGCCCTTGAACAAGTTATATATGACCACAGGAACTTTTGATAAGGAAAAGCGTTCTAGGGATTTTCGCTCTCTGCAACCGCATCCGAGCTTCCCAAACAATTTTTAAAGTTCCAAAGAAAGGAAAGAAATTAAACAAGCAAAATAAAAAATTAAGAAGTCTGAGATTTGATATAGCTCCGAAAACAGCGAAAAGACGCGAAGGATTAGTTGCCGACACTTATGTTGCTCTAACGTAGAAAGATAATCCTTTGTAAACACGCGCTGCTTTGAAATTGATTTCAGTAGAATCTTAACACCTCATTGTGTCGTCGACACGCGATACTAAAATGGCCCTGTTGTTTTTTTTAGGGCTGTTAGTCTAAAAAGGTTAAAAACATTTAGCTTTTTTACTGCTTGAAATCGTGTTTTGGAGAAGATTTTGCAAATTTCTTCATTTCCACTGTTTTATATGATATGCTTACATTTGGTTATTGTTGCTTTTTCTCAGGTCTTCATTTAAATTCAAATAATTTCCGTTAGATATTTTTCGGAGAGATAAGAAACAGATAAGCAAGATTCTGCCAAATGTATTTCCACCGGTTCTTAGCATTGCAGTATTGTCAGTTATTCCTCTCTGCTTTTATACGAAGGTTAAACCTGTAGAAATAACGTTTTCATAACAATAATAAAAAAAAGAACAATATATATTACCACAAAAATAGAGCTTTGATACCATGAGAAGTATTTTATTTGACAGCTATAGATTCTAATGTTTAAAGTGATTGGAAACTCAGACGAACGGACTGTTGAAATTCGCTACTATACTTCGGTTTCCGATGCATACATGCTACGCAATTGAACAATTTATGTAAATCGATGAGGAAAAAAAGTCCATAATTTATACTTTACTCCAGTGATTTCATATTTTAAATAGCGTCATTTTCATCATCTGAACAAGAGCTACCAAAACTACCCCTCGATTGACCAACAAGGGGAGAAGTTTCGATACTTTCCAAAAACGAGTTGACTCTCTCCGTTAATGTCATATCACCCGTACTAAGACTTCGCCTCCGCGAATTCAAGTTGCTAAGTTCTTTTGGCTGGAAAGAATTTACCGCTATGAGATCTCTGCGGCTAGCTAAGGGTGTCCCGTAACAATCGTGTACTGTTGATTTAAGAGCGACCCTGTTTGATGGAAGTTTTAAATCTTCCACTACACTATGTGACTGAGTTCTGCTTCGTCTACGGTCAGCAATTATATTCAAACTTTCATTGTCCACCCTGACAAGACCCCTTCGCTTAGCTCGAGCGCCTGCACTGATAGTATCTTTTATTGAGGGAAGATGAGTCGCTACTTTTCCATTTTCTTCACAGACCAAATGCAACTCCGGAGCAGATCGATAATTTTCCGTACAGGTTTCCATTGACAATTTCCCGTTAGTATCTGTCGAGTTTGGAAGCCTCGGAAAGCGAACACATTCACCATCCATCTTGGAGCTGACTGTCGAAGATGACGTACTCTCACTCGATTGTGTTCTGCTAAGAACAATTTTCCGCAAACTTTGCATTCGTGATTGCACCTTGTTTTTTTCCGCCATGTGTATTTTCTCTGTGTTGTTCTTAAACAGATCGATATCGCGCTGCTGTTTTTCGAGTCGTGCATTTTCTTGTGCGTTTAAGGTCTCGGCTCGCATTTTACGCTCGAAACTTCCACTCAGCACCGCAGATTTTAGACTTCTCGATCTCTCTCTACCCAATTGAGCACTCATATTTGACCCTGAAAACAACTCACATTCGAGATTTCTCCTACTTGTTCTTGAGCGGTCACGGTAAATGTCGTGGTGTCATCAGTTAATCCAAACTTTTTGTTAGAGTGTTAATCTCGTGTTGTCCTCTTACAGGTAGCGCTTTACATCAAAGCGCAACGTCAAGCCAGTGTTGTATAGGTCATTGAATTGTCTAATTGTTCAAAAGAATTCAGGCGGAACTATCCCAAGGCAATGTGATTGTTAATAAAATTTGTTCATCCCTCACGTAAATTGCTCTCCGGTATTTCAACAATTTGTCTAAAACAATTAGGTGAAAACTTTTTTTTTCTTTGCTTACGATGGTAACTTGATGTCTTTGTTTTCTTTCAAAACTGAACGGAGACAAAACTGTCCCTCTTTAGACTTTGTGTGCAAACTTCAAATGCGCATTTTAAATTTTCTCGCTCGTCTTGGTAATGAAACCGTATCATTGATATGTGTAAGACAGCAAATTGTTCCACTTGAGTTCACATGAATTAATACTGGATTTAAAAGTAAACAAGAGCTTAATAATGTACCTCAGGTTTTCGTCTTATTTACCACTGTAGCTGATCTAATCACGTCTTGGAAGCCACTCAATAGAATCACAGGACAATGACGTCACGTAAATGACGTCACGTTGTCGACCACGTTCCCATGGGAAAGGGGGTTAACACAGAAAAATTAAGAGCAAATGAGAACAGAATCATGGTCTTGTTTTTCTAAGTTCTGAGTTTTCGTTTTATCTTTGTGTGTCCTTTTTGCATGATACCGGCGCATTTTTGACGTGTGTTGTTAATCAGTTAGCACAGCTATCTTTATCTTCTGTAAACACTGAAGCTCTTACTTTTCAGCTGTTCAAACAACCTCGTCCCCAGAGTTTACTTTCTTCCTCCCTCGAGAAAGGATCCTGGTTGCGGGCGGTCACGTGTCTACGCAGGGCAAAGAGCACCGTAGGGAGGGTGGGACCTCGACTTTATTTTGTCTTGTCGACGGGAGGGACAAATCATGAGTGCTTTTTCAAAATGGCGCTTACGTTCCTGAATAACCTTCAAGTCACTTTGCTCTCAGCTGGCAATATATTGCAGATTTAAGTCTAAAAGTTAAACAATTAATCTTTCTTCAGCCACAATTGATGAAAGAAAGGCCACAGCGCGCAGTTCTCCACGCACGACCTGTAAGTCAGTAATGTCGGTTGTTTCCCCTTTCATGGGCGTTTCATCAAGTTCAATCTCTTTTGACGCTCGTTTGTTCGTAAAGAAAAGCCAGAGCTGTTCATTCCGAAAAAAACCCTCGAGGATAGAACTTAAAATACTTAAAAACCTAAAGACCCTCGAGATTTTTCGCTTTAGAGTTGCTACTTCCTCCTCTATAAGGAGGCAAGGCCAGTATGTTATGGGGATGTAAGAGGGTAAGATCGAGTGAGGATAACGATAGAATGCTGAACTTCACCCGAGGTTGACCCGAGGTTGACCCGATTTTGACCCGATGTTGACCCGATGTTGACCCGATGTTGACCCGGTGTCACTTATTGTTTGTTTCGGAGTATCCTTGTAGTTCGTCACTCACTCCAGAGATTATTGAGCGTAGCATACGTTAAAGAAAGAAAAATGCGTTTGATACTAATTTTGCGAGTTTGCGAGTTTGCGAGTTTTCATAATGGTAAGTAGGAATCCAGCTGAGAGTAGCTGTGTAAATGACGAAATTGAGCCAAAAGACAGGGACGGATGGCAATCAAATCATGCTGGAAGGATAAATCAAATCCTCTCAAGGAAAACCCTGCAGACTTTATAGAACTTTTATGCCTTTCTTAATCTCGAATGCTCCTTCGAAAATCTCCGATCTCAATCTCAAGGGTTAAGACATGACAGCGAAAATCTTCACTAACAATTTCTCAACAATCGGAGATGGCATCGGGGAAGAAAATGTTGAATCTTTCACGGAAAGTGGCTTTATTAATCACCTATGTGTCTTGGGAAGAAACAGTATGAGGGTTCGAGGGTTCGAGTTACCGGGGATAAAATGACTGAAAATGTATGACGGAAATCCACGGGAAACTAGTTTGGTTCGAGTTAGCGCGAGGTCGAGTTAGCGAGGGTTCGACTTAATACTTCTAGTCGCTTTCTAGAGACCTGGAAACCAGGATAAGTTCCAGCCGGGTGGAAGACTTGGTTCGAGGACAGACCTTTCCCAAAGTCGACTTTATAGATTTTCATTGATCTAAATCAGTATTAAAATTTTTACCTCTACGTATGGAGGGATAGATACAATCGATGGCAGAATCAAGAACAAATCGATAATATCAATAACGATTGACGTTTTGCAGTAGCGATTTTTACTAATTACGTACGATCGGTGACAACGCTGACGATTGACGTTATGGTTGCTTTATTTATTTTAAAATAGCACACAGTTGATATTTAGTGCTATCGATCTGCCTCAGAACGTCAGCGATTTAAGATTAGCACTTCACTGAAGTCTTACAACGACGTTTAGTGTAAAAACACGGGCGATTGAAGCTTAGCACTAACGATTTACCATTTTAAGAACTTAAACTAAATTGAGTTACAATTACGATTTGTTTCTAGCACCATTTAAGGATCGAGTTTTATCATGAGCGATAAATATTTTTTTCAAAAATAGCTCAACCCCTCTGGGAAACGTCATGACCCCCAAGTAATTAAGTAGAAGAAAAACATTTCCGTCGCATTTGAGTTCACGCAAAATTTACTTTGATACTACAAAATGATACAGCCATAAACTTCGCGTACTACATTTTTTTTAATCGGCGCATGCCATAAGTTTGCAACCGCTGCGATCTTTGCAATGTAACAAATCATGTCTTCCACGGCCCCCTCAGTCACGTTGCCCCCGAGATGAGTGACTTCGCCTCTAAGAGCAGTCACGTCGCCCCTACACTTATTGCGAGTTGATCCCCTTAATGAAAACGCTCGTCAAAGTAGTCTCGATCATTACAATAATTCTTATAAACTCGTACTTCTTCTTTTTAATTAAACCAATAAAAGTATTTAATTTGAAAAACACTAAAGTTAGTGTTCGATCTTACGCCATATATACACGGTTGCAAAAGCTGTTCTATCATTCCGCATAAAGCTATATCAGCTGAGAGAATATACAAAGTCTACAGTTCTCACAATCCACTTCAGGTCAAATCTTCGGGTCGATATAACATGACGCCACGTGACCTCACGTGCGAGCCACGTGACCACGCGTGCGGGCCACGTGACCTACAATCTCTGTGCACACCGCACTGAATCATCAATCGTAATTTTCTGCGTGAAGTTATAGAATTCATTCATGAAATTACCATTTAGTTTACAACTTTTAACCTGAGTAAAGAAACTTCTATTTTGAAGTCAACACTCTGTCGTAGCATTCTTTCCATCCACATTTCACTTCAACACAGACCAGGCCTCACCGAAGGATCAACACATAAAGAAAAGTCACGAAAGTGATTGTCACAATACGACCGAACGTCGCTGACTTCAAAACAAAATTGCCTCCAGAACGCACATATGCATCTTTAGTTCTCTCAGCTTGCCTGCGTCTAACGTATCCTGGGCTGTCGACGGGATCTGTGTTACAAAAGTTATCTTGACAACAATCAACCCAACAATTTTGGGGTGAAGGATTTCCCGATCCATCCTCGCTATCCTCGCATAGAATTTGCTCCAGCTCCTCACAACCGCTTAAAATAGCGCATTCTTTAATACTGGCAATTGCCTTGCCGTTTTTGTAAATCACCTTAGTGAAACAAGAGTCATAATGTTCTCCAAACTCAGGATGTTCTGAGCAGTCTGTGACTCTTGAATGCGTCTCACAGTAATTCGATGAATTGGCAACATCTGATCCAGAAGGAAGACATGAATAACAATGGATTGACTGCCCTGAGGAAAGAATGCAGAAAAGGAGACGATTGAAGTAAACACGAGCCACAAATTTGGGAAATTTCAGTTTGTACTGATACCTAAGATCCTTCCAAAACCTACATCCCTGGAGTCTTCCTACGTAGACTTAACGTTTCACTACCGCCGAGTGGAAAGAACGAAGATCAACTGATTGTAAACCTTGATTTATTTGTCCCCTGGGGGTGGGGGATAGGAGGATTTTGAGGGAGATCACATGGTAGTCGGAGGGAAAGGAGGGGGATTAGCCGTTGCCTACAGAGTGTAAAGGGGGAATATGGATAATTCAGGGGAGGGGGGGGGTCATTGGGATAATACAAAGCCTTAGGGGGATCAGGTAAATCTGGTGGTCACACCTTCCACAATCTCCCCCCCCCCTCACCCCCACCCAGGCCAACTCGGCCTTTTCGGAATGCTTTCATTTTCTCACAAATTAAAGATTATTGTTGAAGTAGCCTATTCGCAAAATTTGACGATTGGGAAATGTGCCGTTTTCGAAATACATGCGATAGAAGTTCTGTTTCGAAAGACGAATCTCGCGGCAAAGTACAGATACGATCCTGGTCTATTGGTGTTTGTGGTTTACCCGATATTTCTATCAGATGACATTTCCTACACATCTATTTCATAAGTAACCATTCGGTAAAGAAATACAGAGAAATATAAAGCGCTTGTTTGACCATGGATGGAACTCGGGTAACGCATGTACTAAAACGTACACGATAGGCGGTAAATGAAAGACGATAGATGGTACAAGGTAGATGACAGACGATGGTTTGTGTGTCTTTTTTGTTTTTATCCATATATTTTCCTATTCTGTGGCTTCTGTATTAAGCGGTCACCCACTTAACGCCCCGTGAAAGGAAGACTTATGTGACATTCACGTGATTGCGTGACAATTTTAAATTTCGTAACCTAACGCTTCGTGAAAGAACGATTTATGTGACATTCACGCGATTGCGTGACAATTTTGAACACGCCCAGCAGCTGACTGCGTATATTTTCCCGGAAACGAAAACACAAATATGTTCTCGTTAGCCTTTTCATTCTAAAAATTTTCGATGATATTTCTAATTTTCGGAACGCGTCACAACCCTAAGCGAGTGAGCAACTTAATCATGAATTCTATGCTGTCGCGCCACGTTTAATCGATTCTAAGTTGTGACTTTCAAATGCCCTTACCACGTTCTTGATGATGCACATCCCTTCTCTTCACTTCTAAGCCAAGCGACGCCAATTTCTTCAAGAAAGAGACAGCCTAGAAAATTCACTGCGAGCACTACTTTCGTTTTGCTTTTCTATCTCTCGCTGATGCAAGATTATTTCAATAACGTATGATAGGTGTCGTTGCCCAGGATGATGCAAATCTGTATGGTCTCATGTTCTAAGTGGCTTCGCGGAAAAAATTGTGAAAATTAGAAAACCAAAACCACACTTGATGAGGAAAATTCACAGCAAAGTGTATTCCGGCACGGTCCGAGACGAGAAGGTATTGGATCTCAACCTTATTTTTTGTTTATTTTTTGAGGATGAAATTGTCGAAATAAAGTATTACTAGGCGGACTGCGCTAAGAAACTTTATTACTGTTATCTTTGTACATGTGCCAAACCATTCTGAGTAACATTAAATTGGCTCAGATTTGGAGACCTTTTTCTCCAAAATTACCTTTTGGACACAACCCTTAATTCTATGAAATTCCACAATTTTCCAAGACACCTTGCGCCATTTTTTTTTTCTCAGATTTTTTGTAGAGTCATATATCATATGTTAAAATTTTAAATAATTGCAAAAAATCTTGCATGATATTTTACCCCCAAAATTGTCGAAAATTCACCAAATTAGCCATCGGTATGCACATTCCTACAAATGCACGGGTGTTTTTTTATGGAAAAGATCATCAGGCTTCCAAAAAATGGCCTTTAATCATGTTTGTGATTTGCCTCACGGAAGAAATCAATCAAAGAAAAAAAATCAAGACTTCGATATTAAATTCAAAGCGCATTTCTAACTGCTCGACTGAAAATAAGAAAAGGAAAACAGGATTATCAAGAAGCGCTAATAGAGATTGTTTCTACCATTTAAATTTCTCTCCAGAATCCACGATGAAGATTTCTGCTCCAAGCCTAAACAAATACGAGCCTTTTTCCCGGCGAAACTTTTTCGTCCACATTCCCAAGATTTAATCCTCAAGGAAGCTAACTTCTTACATTACAAGATCTTACAGCTCAGTTATTCTCCACCTTGGGTCACTTAAGGATTATAATGATACCTTAAGAGGGTTTAACCTTCTCACTCCTAAGAGCTGAAAGTCAATTCTCCCAAATGATGAAGAGGCATTTCTTTGTGAGTTGTCATAGAGAATTTAGTGTTACATCAAAGATGGTATATTAAAATTGTTGAGAAAGTTTAAAACTGATCACCTCTTGTGGTAAAAAGGTTATAAAGAAGCCAGGAAACATCATGAGACTCCATAGGATTTTGATAAAGAAAAGACAGGGATTGGGAATCCATGGGGGCTCCTTAAAGCAGGATTTGATAACATCCTCGTTAATCTTTCAGAAGCAAGGCGTTTGGGGTAGGAAGGTCAAAATGTGTTCAAAATTTCACTCTGTAAACTACACGATCGGCACGGATATTTAAAAAGAGCCTAATCCGAATTCAAAACTTAATTTTTACCTTTTCTTTCAGCACGAAACGAAAACACATGCCTAAGAGTTTGCGATATTTTCTCATAATTGCGCGCGAGAGTTACGCGCGAAGTAAGTTCCTCCACGTGGCCAACTCGTTATCAACACCGAAATTCCCTAAAGGAATGTTAATCTTTGTTTTTCCCTTTCCTTTTTTTTATTATGTTTTTGGAATTTTTTTTGGACGACTTTCCCGGGTCAACTGGAACATCTTATGCTCGTTATGCAATTAGCGAGAAGTGATTTACGCGAGAGATTAATTTATAAGAGTTTTACACATTTTGTAAGTACACGCAAAGCCATTTCGCGAAGGCGCGCAGACGTACGATAACGAGATAGCTGCTTTGGGACTGTCAGACTTTTGGGCGGTAAAACCCTAACCACGTGAATGATGCTTGGCTATCAGTTCCAGAGAAAATCCTCGAAGTTTTCATAGCGTGACTGTGGATTGCATAAAGCTCCTGGATGGAATTGCAGCCAAGGATTTATCTCGCGCTTCGACAGTTATCCGGACACATGACCAGTAATGTCGTCATTGATAGATTGTTTACGGTACCTCAAACTTAAGTAACTGGAACATCTTTTCGCGGATGTCGATTTCAATTTATCACCTGTTATCCGTACTAAATTAATGACTCTCACTAAATGTTTTTGGTTCAACGCGCCTGTACCTTGAATTTTGAGATCAGAGCACGAATGTAAGTACAAAGTGTCTCTCTTGGAAATAATCAGCATACTGATCACACTCCTGATAGTACTATGCAGGGCACTTGTCACATTGGGACTTATGAACCCGTTAACCAACGCGCCTAGTAGACATTGCATCTAATCTGTTCGGAGCTCGACCCAACACGAACTCAAGATTTTTCGCCGCCCACGCTTCCAAACACCTATCTTCAAATGACAAATTTTTTTCGCGCGGTGATATCGATAGGCATCAGCGGCAAAACAACGTACATCAACGATCCGATGATCGATTTATTAAACGGCCTATCGGGTAGTGAGTTCGTCAATCAGAGGAAACATGACTCGAATGCGGTCTGTGGTCGATCGTCTAAGAATTTATCACGAAGATATCAACTTGACACTTTTGAAGCTCCAAGTGATAAATTAAAACACACTAATTGTTTCAACAGAGAAGCGTGGGTGATCGTTTCGCAGTTCTAACCACAAAAATATTTCTTCCAATGATCACACTCAAAGCTTACTGAGAGAATGAATTGAGAGTAAAGTGGCACTGTCCGATGAGTGAATTTTTATTTCGCTAAATCAAAATATCTTATCAGATAACTTTTAAACCCCCTAGAGAGTAATGTGGACCACTATCGATCAAGAAATTTCTGGAATTGGTCAAAAAGAAACACTTTAATCTACTCATATGACTGAGGATAAACAAGTGGCGACTGTGGTATTACAAGTAAGACTTCAGTGAATTCAGCTTGTAACTGCACCCAGATTACAGAACAGATAACTGTACACGACATCACGAAAGGAAGAAAGCAGGTTCGCTTAACTCCTGTTCTGTTTAAAAATGCATCAGTTTTACTGGTTGAAACTGCGAAACGGCCACTTTAAGACGCCACAAATTAATTACATTAATGAGTAGAGGTCAACATTTTGTAATAACCTACGCATATTTATTTTTTACGTATTATCGTCCCTGCTGATTCACGCTTCATGGCGTCCGCGTTTCTTCAAAAGTTTCTCATACCGTCTTGTCGCGATTCTTCGAAAACCCGAGAGTTTCTTTACCGCTATAAAGTCTTCTCTGTGTGCTGAAACGAATGTTTTCGCTACGGACAGCTCTGTCGCAGAGAGGCGAAGTATTGCGCTTACAGGTTTTATCATATAAGCAACGCTCGAATACACCAAATCGGGACAAGACTGCCATGTTTTTAATAGGGTGAACACAGCGTGATAGAAAACATACTTACCAAATTTTGCAGCCAGAAGCAAGAACACTGCGATGTAAACAAGCTTTGATGCGTTCATCTCCTTCGTGTCCAGCGTAAGCGCTGTTGGTTACTGCAGGCCTCTTACCTAAATTGTATTAAATTGTCAACCGTCAACGACCAGTTTTAAATGACAACAGAACAATGGTATTTTGTGACCCCATTTAGTAGATGTTGAACATAAGAGAGGCATATTGGATTTCGGTCAGTCTGGTTTCCGGCGCCTTTAACTAGGTCAAGTCCTCCCCTGTCAAGTAAGCGCCGCACCTGTGTCTCTGCTCCCTTCGTCTTTAGGGCCTGTTTACATGAAGGTGGGGGACCCCAGGTAGGTAAGGTAACCCGCCTGCCTAGGTGGGGTAATCCGCCTGTC